ATCCATCCATCCAAACAACCAACCGAGCATCCATCCATCCAAACAACCAACCGAGCATCCATCCATCCATCGAACCGAGCATCCATCCAACTATCAGTCCAGCCAACCGAACATCCAAACATCCAACTGAGCATCCATCCATCCAAACATCCAACCGAGCATCCATCCAACTATCCGTCCAGCCAACCGAACATCCAAACATCCAACCGAGCATCCATCCAAACATCCAACCGAGCATCCATCCAGCTATCCGTCCAGCCAACCAAACATCCAACCGAGCATCCATCCAAACATCCAACCGAGCATCCATCCAAACATCCAACCGAGCATCCATCCAAACATCCAACCGAGCATCCATCCAAACATCCACCTAACCGAGCATCCATCCAATTATCCGTCCAGCCAACCGAACATCCAAACAACCAACCGAGCATCCATCCATCCAAACAACCAACCGAGCATCCATCCATCCAAACAACCAACCGAGCATCCATCCATCCATCCACCTAACCGAACCGAGCATCCATCCAATTATCCGTCCAGCCAACCGAACATCCATCCATCCAAACAACCATCCGTCTGTCCTTCCGTACACCCAACCAACCCCCCTCTAAAGCTCGGGTGTCAGACTCTTGAAAAGGTGTCCCTGTTGCAACACACCTGACTATAATTAAAAGGTCATTAGACTAATTAACTTGACTGCATGCTGAGGTGGCAGTTCAGCCTTTTGATTCATGTTACAGCAGCTGATGAGTGAACGAACACGGTGCAATAAAAGAACTTTTAGAAGTACATTTTTCCAAACACTTATATTTATTTAAATTTACTTCAGTAGGGTTAGGGGTCGCCACCATGCAGTCTAGTTCATTAGAGTCTTGCTAATGACCTTTTAATTGTAGTCAGGTGTGTTGCAGCAGGGACACGTTTTCACTCCCCGAGGCCTGGAGTTTGACACCCCTGCTCTAAAGTGTTTCTGAGTTTTGGAAGTTGAACTGCGTCTTTTACTTGGAGTTTCTCCATATTGATGTGCGTCTCTGTTAACATCCCTCCGACCTGTACGTTCGGGTATAAGCCTGTCACAGAGATGTGGAATGCAGTAATCTTTAAAAGCTTGTAGTCTGATCACTGAGCTGAGTCTAAGTTCAGTGACTGTTGGGGAGCAGGCTGATTCCAGGCAAAGGGTTTGAGTTTCCCCCTCCAACTCTCCACAGTTGGATGTTATTCCTCCTTACCCTGAAGCTGAAACTTTTAAGGGATCTTTTCCTCTCCTGCTCAGCTGAGCCTTAAATCCAACAGATTTCCTCACATTAAACCAGAGTCCTCCTCGTGTTTGTCACATTTAAGATAAACTCCAAGTGTTTTTGTGTCGCGTGTTTGCGTCACAGGAGGAACTCTGAGAACAGGAACCAGAAATCATTTTGTCCTTCAGTGAAAAAGGATCTGAAAGTCCTGAAGCATGAATCTCCTTTTGTGTTTATGTTGTCAGGGAGCGTCCAGTGAATCGACCGCCCGAGCTGCTCTACCCGCAGGTCGATGTGGCGGAGCGCCTGGCACTCGGCGGCAGTGACGACACGCTGGCCAACGGCATGAAGCCCGACCTGGAGGCGGCTAAACGTCTCGCCAAACGCCTCTACAACCTGGAGGGCTTCAGGAAGTCTGACGTCGCTCGCCAGCTCAGCAAGAAGTCAGTGTGTGTGTGTGTGTGTTAAAACTTTGGGCTCGCAGAGTAACGTGAAGAGCAGGGGACTTCATGCAGAACAGTTGATGAATTAAATTTTATTTACACAGCGCCAAATCACAACAACAGTCGCCTCAAGGTGCTTTATATTGTAAGGTAGACCCTACAATAGTACATACAGAGAAAAACCCAACAATCATGTGACCCCCTATGAGCAGCACTTTGGCGACAGTGGGAAGGAAAAACTCCCTTTTAACAGGAAGAAACCTTCAGAACCAGGCTCAGGGAGGGGCGGGGCCATCTGCTGTGATTGGTTGGGGTGAGAGAAGGAAGACAGGATGAAGACATGCTGTGGAAGAGAGACAGAGGTTAATAACAGATATGATTCAGTGCAGAGAGGTCTGTTAATACATAGTGAGTGAAGAAGAAACACCCAGTGCATCATGGGAATCCCCGGCAGCCTACGTCTATTGCAGCATAACTAAGGGAGGATTCAGGGTCACCTGGTCCAGCCCTAACTATATGCTTTAGCAAAAAGGAAAGTTTGAAGCCTAATCTTGAAAGTAGAGATAGTGTCTGTCTCCTGAATCCAAACTGGAAGCTGGTTCCACAGAAGAGGGGCCTGAAAACTGAAGGCTCTGCCTCCCATTCTACTTTTAAATACTCTAGGAACAACAAGTAGGCCTGCAGAGCGAGAGCGAAGTGCTCTAATAGGGTGATATGGTACTACAAGGTCATTAAGATAAGATGGGGCCTGATTATTTAAGACCTTGTATGTGAGGAGCAGGATTTTGAATTCTGCATTTAACAGGAAGCCAAAACAGGAGAAATCTGCTCTCTTTCTAGTCCCTGTCAGGACTCTTGCTGCAGCATTTTGGATCAGCTGAAGGCTTTTCAGGGAGTTTTAGTGTGTGGCCTTTACAGCAGTACACCTGCACACAGAGCTGGTTCACAACATTACATTTTGTCACATCCAACAAAAACAGGAATTTCCAGCGTGCAGTGAACATATCACGGCCTCCTGCTGGTCACACTGCAGCGACTCAACCAGTTAACTGATGATGTCACAGCGCAGTTAGTGCGGGCAGATTCAGCAGAGCTAATGTCCTGATTTCACTTCCTTGAGTCTGAGTGACACGTCACGGGACGAGCTAGTCGAGCTTTACTGTTACTTCCTGGTTCCAGGTTTAATATAAACATGCAGATTTTTACTTCCTGTTCACCTTTCAGGTAAAGTTCTGGTTTGCAGGTGGAGGTTTAATGCTCTGTTCTTTTCTGTAATATCCTGTCACAGAAATAAGGCAGCCGGTGTAGTGATACAGTGATAGTCCTTTGTACAACGTGCTCGCGTTACACCAACACGCCTGCTTCTCTCTGCAGTAATGAGTTCAGTCAGATGGTGGCCGAGGAATATCTCACCAACTTTGACTTCACGGGTCTGACCATCGACCAGGCGCTCAGGTGAGTCCCGCTTCCTGTCCGTGTTTATTTCAGAGCGTGCAGACGCGATTGTCTTACATTCGCTCACTGGCAGCACCTCCCGTCTCTCTGCGGTTCTTTAATGTTTGTGCAACTGCGCGACGGCCTCCTGAACATCTGCAGGAGGTCCAGATGTTCATATGAACCAGCCACGGTGTGCCGTGGCGTGCAGTCAGTCACTTCCTGCGTGCTCTGCTGTGACCTTTCTGATGGAGAAGCTCAGAGTTTAAACGCAGAACTTTTTCTGACTTCATCCCAAATTCTGTCAGTTTACAGCAGGACTGGCACTATCACAGGGCTTAATGTGAAAAACCTGTGCAGTGGGTGTGTCTGTGTTCATCTCACCTGTTCAGGTGTTCTGGTGACATCATAATGAGCTTCTTTAACATCTGTTTCTTCGTTCAGGATGTTTCTGAGGCAGTTTGCTCTGATGGGGGAAACTCAGGAGAGAGAGAGAGTCCTCGCTCATTTCTCCAGGAGGTACAGACAGTGCAACTCGGAGAGCCTGACCAGCGAAGGTACCGTCAGTCCTACCTGTCCTCTTTCACCTGTCCTACCCGTCTGACCCCTCTGTCTGTCGCTCTGTCCCACAGACAGCGTCCACACTCTGACCTGTGCCATCATGCTGCTGAACACGGACCTGCACGGAAACGTGAGTGAACCCGAGCCGTCGGCTGATTGGTCGTTACGTTTAATAGGAACTCCTAATCTGGTCGATTGAAAGCACGTCGGCGTCATCTGCCACTCGAGCGTTCCCGCGAGTTTCCTCCTGTTTCATGTCAGCTGCTGCTTCCTTGTTGGTGTGACATACAGGAAATATTAAAGTTCAGTGTGAATTTCATCAATAACAAATTAATAAACGGAAAAAATAATAAAATGATAAATGTTTGTTTCCAGAATTTCATTATAATGATATCATTTGAAAAATGTTAAAAAAGGAAAGTTTTATAAAAATGTGAATAAATATAAAAATGAGTAAAGAAATATTAGGAGACGTTAATGTGAAAATCCATTTTATGTTATTATTGAAATATTGATCTAAAAATGTGACAAATATATGAAAATACTAACAAATAACTGACTGACTCGTCATCACTGAGGAGCGCCGCCGGCTCATCGGGCTCATTCTTCATTTCTGCTAATGAACTTTTTTAAGGAAGTGCTGACTGTTACTGCGGCAACATGCCTGCACGTTTCCTCTGACCGTTACAGCAGGAGTGACAGGAAGACGGTCTCCGCTGCCCCCCTCGCGTTAAACACGACTAGAATAGAAGGGTTTAACTCCACCTGTGCAGCTTTTATATCAGGTGGAACAGTTTCTGTTTCCAGAGCGTTCTCAGCGCTCCGTCAGCATCAGCGAGGCGTCCTTTGGTTTGTGGGGTCAGATCCGACCCACAGCTGTTTTGACTTTGGGTAATTTGGGGTAAGACTAGCTTTGCTGCTAACACGGGTGACTTACTGTGTGCTGAGCGGGGACGAGTCGTCCAAGCTCAGCGAGCTGATCTGCTAACCAGCCGATGATTTCACATCCCGAGCTAACGTCACAGATCAGCTGACTGTGGGTTCATGTTCAGTCTGTCACAATCACATCTGAGGGGTGTGTGTGTGTGTGTGTGTGTGTGTGTGTGTTGTGTACATGTGTGTGTGGGTGTGTGTGTGCTGTACGGTGTGTGTAGCAATGTGCGGGCAAATGAGGAGGTCCTGCAGCCAGTTCGTCTCCAACCTGAGGACCTCAACAACGGAAAAATTTCCCAAAGATTCTGCTGCGAGAGGTGCCACTGCACACGCAACACACCACAGTAAGCCCACCACACACACACACACACACACACACACACACACACACACACACACACACACACACGCCTATGACTGATTAAAAGACTGCAGCAAGTCCAGCACGCTTCAAGCGCCGGGATGGATGGCCACCGGCCTGCGATGACATCACTGTTGGTGCTTGCAGCTACCGAGCCCACAGACCAGAACGATGCTTACACAAGTGTGAACCCTTAAATGGGCCGCTCCAGCCCAGTGGAGTGCTCGGATTTCAGACCTGTCCCTGTAATGTGGACGCGTCCTCAGCGTGAGGAGTTCAAAGTGACATCGGACTACACAGAGACACTAAAGCATGAGCGCGCACACATCCTTGTTTCCATTCCCTGTGAGGACATTACATTCTTCCAGCCTTACACTAGTCTTCAGCGTTAAATTGGATGATGGGCACTGTGAGGACTGGCTTGGTGTCCTGAGGAGGAGGTGAAGTCCCCGCAGCGCAGCGATTCTTGGTTTGTGGCCGTCAGAGCAGAAAAAGGAGAGAGATGCATTAATTTTACTTCTTATGGCCGCCAGGCAGAACGAGTGTGCGTGTGCGCACGTTCGTGGATACGTGTGTGTCAGTCTCCCACTCTTTTGTTTCCGTCTCAGTTTTTCCATCTCAGCCTCGGAGCGATCAACGTGAATCTGCGTCACCTCTTCACCTCCACCATCATCATCATCATCGTCGTTGCTCTGTGTTAACATGTGTGCTGAGTGTTTTCTTGCCTTCAGCTTGGCACTGGTTGGATGGCTGCTTGTTGATGAAGCGCTGAGTGTGTGGGCAGCAGCACCGACTGACTGGCTGAGAGCAGAAAACAGTGAATGTCGAATATTTATGAGACAAAAACATGAATTATCTGCAGTCAGAGAGGAAGGAAAGTCCTCGCGCTGTCCACAGCAGAAACGCTCTTTATTTGGGACACAGTTTGTAAGAAAGGAAACTGATGATCAGATTCAAAGCTCAAGCTCAGACAGTAACACAGTTTACTTCAGTAATAGTCCCAACAGGTGAACAAACACCACAGAAACATCTTTAAATATTCACAGAGCCACAGACGTTGTCCTGGATTGTTTTGTGGTTATTTTTCACTCAGAGTGTCGTTCCGCGTCTCTTTGTGGTCATTTGTGTCTCTTTGTGGTCATTATCTGTCTCTTTGTGGTCGTTCTGTGTCTCGTGGTCGTCCTTCGTCTCGTTGTGGTCATTTGCGTCTCGTTGTGGTCGTCCTGCGTCTCGTTGTGGTCGTCCTGCGTCTCGTTGTGGTCGTTATGTTTCTTTTTGGTCGTCCTGCGTCTCTTTGTGGTCTCCTGGTCTCTCACTCCGTGGGACGGCGGCACAGCGAAGGTTAGAGAAGCGCTGATGCTAACGGGCATCAGCGTTAGCATAGTAGGGTCGTTTTAGGCTCGGGTGGAGGAAGCTGCCTCTCTTCATCACGGCGCTGTGAAAACGGTTTCCACAGTTCAACATTCAGGTCCTGAGTGTGCTTTTACTGAAGTTGAGCTAAAACTGATTCTGTATTGATTATTGATTTTATTGGGCGTGAATGTGATTGGTGTCTTCGCTCACACGTCGTCGGCTCGCTGTCATATTTTTCACGTTCAGCTGAATTTGAGTTTTTGTTGCTGATCGTCTCTCAGCTGCATTTACATTCAGCTCTGTGAACCCACCATGACTGACAGCTCCAAGGAGGACAGAAGGCGGGCTGAAGCTCCCATCCCTGGCCTCCAATTGGCTGCTGCAGCTGAGGGAAAATGCGCATTGCGAGAGCGAGGGAAAAAAGAGAGAGGGAGACAGAGGAGGAGGAGGAGGAGGGAGAGCGAGCAAACAGTCCTCAACAGTTCAGTGTCTCAGTGGGGAGGAGGAAGAGAAGACGAAGAAGAGGAGGACGAGTGAGCTCACCTGACCTGACAGAGGGATTCTCCTGCAGGAGGAAATCAAGTGAATGAGGAGGAGGAGAAGAGTGGGAGTGAAGTTGGAGGACGAAGAGATCAAGAGAGATGTGAGGAGGAGGAAGGAGGGATTCTCTCTCTTCATCAGAGTGCAACAGGAGAACCTCCTTTCTCTGCTTTTTTTCTCCTCATTAGCCTCTCCTGTGCCTCCACCTCCGCCCTCCGTCCGTCTGTCCGTCCGTCCTCCATCAGGGAGCTGGAGGAAGCTGACGTCAGTTTTGGGGGTGCTCTCTCTCTCTCCTTGTCTGCCTGTGTGGGTGTGCTCGCTCGCCCAGCCTCCCTGCTTTTCCTCTTTTCTTTTTTGGATGTGAGAGCGAGCTGATGCCTCTCCTCCGTCACGCAGCTTTATTTGCAGTCCAGGGATTCTCCTCCACCAACGGCACCTCCACCAACGGCACCTCCACGGCCGCTGCATCAGGAGGCTCAACAGCAGCACAGACCCCCCAAAATCCAGGACGAGCTCGGAGCTGTGGTTCGGACGGTTTTCATGTCACTGCCTCTGAATCGCTGATGGATTAGACACACACACACACACACACACACACACACACACACACAGTCTGGAGTGTGTGTGTTTGGAGGCGGATGTGTCGACGGCTGACAGCAACTTTAAAGTCTCAAATTTTCAGTTTTAATTGATTTTGAATTTGATCAAATGTATAAAAACTGTAAAACCTTTAAAAAAGTATTAATTTGTAGAAAACGTCAAACGTTTGATGTTGATTGTCTGAATCGCTCATTTCTGCAGCTAAAATTTTCTGCTTTAAATGAATTTCAGTCCAAACATATTAAAGCTAATTGTAAACAGTTATTTATGAAATAGTTTATCAGACGTCGGCATAAATGTGATTTATTTTCAAAATAAAATGATTTTAGCTTTCCTAAACAGAAATATGAGTTCGTGCACAAAAAGGCTCATTTTAGCCTTAAAGCCAACATTAATGTCATCATGTTTGATTTAAAATAGGAAGAATGAAACATTTTGAGTGATAGAAAGTCTTCCCTCAGTTTGGAAATCACAGCCCTGGGACTAAACTATCGTACGTTTGACTCGTAACTGCAGATTCCAGTGCGTTCCAGGCACAGAGGAGTCCACAGGTTTGTTTCTTGGCAGCGTCCTCCTGCTTTCGTGCTTTTGGCTCTGAACACCTGAGCGAGGCTCCGGCCGGCAGCCTGCAGGATCATGAGGCTGATGAAGAGCTGCTGTGTTTTTATGCATAATGAATAGAGCCGGATCCATAATGCAGCAGGCCGAGCTCGCAGAGGCACCGTCCATCCAGCCGCTCGTCAGTGGCCGTCATTAGCCCGTCTCTATTTTACACACCCTCACCTCCTCGCTTCCTCGGCTCCTTCCTGCACTCGTCTACAGTCTGGAAGCTCGTGACGTGGGTTCGAGTCTGAAGCGACGCAGACCGGCGGTCATCAACGGGCTGGACTTTGTTAGATCCGCCGCGCCGTTCCGTGGAAGCGGTGAATGCTGGCCCGAGGATCTTCTGTACAGGAAACATAAAAAGTTTGGACTTTTTTTATCTGTTGGATCCCAACTCAAACCGCCCAGATGATCGGCGTCAACAGCATCCACTCCACGGGCCGCATGCGCTCGCGCTCGCTGTGCTCGGTCCGGAGCGGGCGGGACTCGAGGGACAACGACCCGTTCAGGTATCCCAGGACCCCGCGCTCCCGCTCCCTCAAACCGCTGGCCTTCCCCGACCTGCTGGGAAAAACCCAGGATGGGCAGCAGCACCCGCAGAGCCGCAAGAAGAAGGTAGAGCTGGAGACACACCTGTGAACCTTTACCTGAACCTGTACCTAAGTTACCCGGTTTAAAAACCTGTGAAGGTTTGTTTTCGTCCTGAAGATGCTCTCCTGACGTGACACACGTTTACAAACCTCTATGAAAGCAATCCTCTGCGCCGACCGCTTCACATTACACCTGTGTTCATCCCTTTGTGATGACATCATCTGTTTCTTCATATTTCATTGGCTGGTTTTTGTTATTATTGTCGTTGTTGTCGGTCCGTGTCAGACACACAGTTTAGTTCATTAAAATTTTCTTCACATCTCTGTAATAATGGACAAAGGCCCCTCAGCAGGCTTCCACAATCCGGCCAATCAGAAGAAAGTGGGTTGTCGGTACGGAGTGGGGCTTAAAGGGGGAGGGGCTATACCAGCTGTTTTCAGGCACAGGGTGAACCGAGACTGGGATCAGATACAGATCGATGCTCGAGGGAAAGCGCCTCCACACAGGAAGTGACCCGCTCCTTCCTAAGTTGCTGCCGGCTGGTCCATACTGCACATGCCAGCCTCTGGTTGCCTGGGCAACTAGCTAATTTAAGTACCAGCGGCTCATATGTCAATCAGCTCTCACTGCTAGCTGCTTCAGTCGCGCACATCAAAATATCCCACTTCCTGTCACCAGCGGTTATTTTGCTCGCAGGTGCTCGTATGAGGCTGAGTGTCAGCGGCGGTCTCAGGTGATGGCGTGGTTTCCTGTGTGGACGGCCCTTTAAACAGGTAGCACTGGACTAGGTTTGATTGCCCAAGGAAACTCGACTCCGTTAAAAATGATGACCAGAGCCATTAAATCCACACAGCCAATCAGCACCCGGCTTTTAGGCCATGTGACCATCTTTAGTTTGAGCATGTGAAGAATGTGGATTAAATACTGAATGTCCTATCAAGTAATCAGATTACTGTGAATCCTGAAATCCATATGAGCTCTTCATGTCTGTGGTGTGTGTGATGTGTGTGTGTGTGTGTGTGTGTGTGTGTGTGTGTGTGTGTTGTTTCTCCAGACGCTGTACAGCTCCATCAAGAACGAGAAGCTGCAGTGGACCATGTGAGTTTCTGCTTCGACACACAGCATGTACAAACATCTCCACTGAGTGTGTGTGTGTCTCTCTGTGTGTGTGTGTGTGTGTGTGTGTGTGTCCCTGCTGCCCTGACTCCCTTATTTAAGCCTCTGTTGCTGTGGTAACCGTTCCCTGCTTCATTCCTGACTGTAATTACAGGTCAGCATCCCAACGACCATGCCTGACTGTGGACACACACACACACACACACACACACACACACACACACACACACACACACACACACTCATAAATACATAGATTTACTGGGTGTCTGTATCCGTTCAGCATCTGTCCGCCCTCGTGTTCAGCCTGTTCTTTCTCCTAAACTGTTTCCTTCCTGTGAGACATTCAGCTTCTTTCTGATAAATAACGTATTTATTCAGGTCATGTTTAACATTCATGCTGTTATGAAGAGAAATCATCTAAAAATCTCTGCCATCAAACAGCTGACGACTTTCAGCAGGTTCGAAAACTTCTGTTAAATTGATAACCTGGTGAAATGGATCCACTGAGAGGATGAAACTGATCGACAGGCTGACACAGGAAATGAGGTCATTTATTCATTTAAGAGAATTAAAGAAAATGAAGTGCGAGGTGACGGTAAGCGGAAAACATGAACCCGACGGGATGATGGAAGAGAACGGTGTTACCCGAGCGAGTCGTTAGCAATGAAACGTAAACACGCTCTGCGATGGCGACGAGGACGAGCTGACGCAGGCTCTTTCAAACTGTTTCCTCTCTTGAAGTGATGAAGAGGAGTTGAGGAAGTCCATGTCGGAGTTGGCGGACATTCGAACAGACTCTGCCTCCCACACCATGAAACGCCTCGGGAGTAGCGGAAACCCGCTGGTGGGCGTGGCCCATCAGGCCGATGGCGAGCTGTACAAGAGCGGCTTCCTGGTCCGCAAAGTCCACGCCGACCCCGACGGGAAGAGAAGTACGCCGCTCCTCCTTCAGTTTTCAGTTTTGCCACGTCCCCTGTCAGCTGATCCCTCACTTCCTGTTATTTTGGTGTTTGTGCTGTTGCAGCGCCGCGGGGGAAGAGGGGGTGGAAGTCCTTCTACGCCATGCTGAAGGGTATGGTCCTCTACCTGCAGAAGGTAAGCGTCTGCACTACGTTTCCCAGCAGCCCCTCTCTCTGTTTGTGTCCCCGGGTCAGGCGCAGGACAGGAAACGCAGCGAGCTGATTGGGCGTCAGCTAGGGCTGCACGATTAATCGTTAGAAAATCGCGATCTCGATTCATACTTATGTGCGATCTCATTTGCAAATGACAACGATTAAAAAAAAAAAAAAAAGACGACGACGACGTCATCCGGGACGTACTCTGCATGAAAACAAGCGCTCACTCTTCCTGCTCAACAAATGACGAGGGCGGAGCCTTATACCACGTGGTACAGAAGCTGTGCCGTGTGATGCTAAAATTAGCAGGAAAAAAACAACGGAGAGCACGTCAGGGATGACGAGGAAGTGACAGGAGAACATCCGTCCCCGTCAACCACCCAAACATCAATAACGGGAACCTTATACAGTGCTTCCCTATACACGTCGAACTCCTGCAGGCACAAAGAAATTAGAGGCTATCACTTATCACCTGACCACAGATATGGCTCCATCAACACTGTGCAAAACGAGGGATTTAGGAAAATGATCAACACCCTCGACAAACGCTGCACAGTGCCGTCCCGCAACTATTTTTCTATTGTTGCACTACCTGCTCTGTACACGCAGCGTCGAGCAACGGTGGAGATGGAATTACAAGCAGTACGACATTTTGTTGTTTTTATGTTTATTTATTGTTTTTATGTTCAGTCTCACCTGTTACGAAGTTGATGTGCAGTTAATACGTGCAATAAATATTTCTACTGGAAAAGAGAATCGTGAGAGAATCGTGATCTCAATTCTAAGCCAAAAAATCGTGATTCTCATTTTATGCAAAATCGTGCAGCCCTGCTGTCAGCCTGTTTTTCTATCTGCGCTGATTCCAGAGCGGCAGTTTTTAACGTCTCCGCCCACCGCCGCGTTCATCTTTAACTTTAGAGCTTTGATTAAAATGTCTGAACTAGTGAGGCCTGCTTTACACACTGCCGCACAAAAGTAAGTGGACGGGTTGAACTATAAAGCGTGAGTACCCGTCCACATACTTATGGACTCCTCGCAGCTCCACGTTAACATGAAAACAAGATGTTTGTGCCATGAGAACTTTTTCTCAGAAACTTTGTCAGAGCTTTGAAAGAACCGTTTCAGTTTCAAAGATTTCTTTTTAACTCCTTTAATCAGAAACGGCGAGCGTTTATAGCGAGACAGTCGAGCTGGAATGTGGTGAGCATCGCGTTTAAGCGTCTTTCATGTTTGAATTTCTGGAGAGCTGACGCCGATCTGATCCGCAGGACGAGTACCGAGCTGAGAAGGAGCTGACGGAGGAGGACGTGAAGAACGCCGTGTCCATCCATCACTCTCTGGCCATGCGGGCTGCCGATTACAGCAAGAGGCCCAACGTGTTCTACCTGCGGACCGCCGACTGGAGGGTCTTCCTGTTCCAGGCCCCGTAAGCACCTCAGTCTGTCTGTGTTAAGGGAGAGGGGGGAGGAGGGTTTCCAAGCAGCTAGCAGGCAGTACAGGAAGGATAAACAGCTTAAACTAAACCGGACGAGACAGGAAGTTACGGTGTTTCCTGTGTTTCCTGCAGGAACGCCGAGCAGATGCAGTCGTGGATCACGCGCATCAACGTAGTTGCGGCCATGTTTTCTGCTCCCCCGTTCCCGGCCGCGATCGGGTCCCAGAAGAAGTTCAGCCGTCCTCTACTGCCGGGATCCAACACTAAACTGTCACAGGTAAAAACGCCGCCGCCGTCCTTTTCAGCTCCGCCCACTTTCACCAGACTCACACCTCTTCCCCCACCTTCTGTCCCGACAGGAGGAGCAGGTCAAATCTCACGAGAACCGTTTCAGGGCGGTGTCCTCTGAGCTGTCTGACCTCAACGCCGCTACGCCGGACCGAAAGGTGAAAGGTCGTGAGCTGGAGGAGCAGAAACTCCGACAGGAGTACCTGGAGTTTGAGGTGAGGAGGTTAAAATAACACGCAGGAAGTATTTCAGTACTTATACTCAGTACTGGATCTGCACCTTATTATGGAGGACCAAAGCTGCCAAAAATAAATGTTTACAAAATAATTTTTAAATGCATTTCAATGAAATACGATATTTCATTAAAAATATTTAGCAGTTAAATTAAAACAAAGAAGTTAATTAATTAATTAATGATTTCGTAGAAAAAATTATTCCAGGCCAAGTATGGAGGACCAGAGATGCCAAAGTCCAAGTTAATTAGATTCACTACCTTATTCTTGTTTTTGACTTTTGATTTTTTTGGTCGAGTCACTTATTTGTGGGTTTTTTGTTTTATTTTTGATTTTTTTTTTTTTGCGGTTTTGGTCCTCCGTACCTTGGAACCAAAGCCAGATTTTATTGGAGCAGACAATAACCGGAGTCGTGCTTTGTTTGTGGCGGCGTTTCATCTTCGTCTCGTGTTTTTTGTCTCCGGCTGAATGCGAAGCTGTAAAATGTCTTCTGCCTCGCGTCTGCTCGTCTTCGTCACAGACGGTCGCTGCATCAGTCTGTCGGGTGTCGAACAGGCTGCACACACTCCAGCACGCCGTGTTCTTAGAGGAAGGAACACAGCGCCGTTTTCCTGCCCCTTTCACACAAGGTTTCGCCCTGATGTCACGTAACAACAGAGATGCTGGAAAACTGGAGAGAAGCAGCGTTATTAATAATAATAATGATTTATCAGCTCAGACTCTGAAAAGCCCCCTGATTGGTCCTCGTTAGACCCAGAACGGCACTTTCGATGTTCACATCTCCTCCTCCTTCTCTCCCACAGAAAACCCGGTACGGTACGTACGCCATGCTGCTTCGGGCCAAGCTGGCGAGCGGCGATGAGGACCTTTCCGCCTTTGAGGCTCGGCTGTTTGATGACGGCGGCCTGCAGAGGGCGCACTCCAGCCCCTCGCTGCCCCAGGACACCACCAACAAGGAAAAGACCCGCAGCTCCAAGACGTCAAAGAGCCTGAAGGTCACGTCCTCCTCGACCTCCAAGGCCGGCGGCAGCAGCAGCAGGGAGGCGAGCAAGAAGAAGAACGGCGGTGGGAGCGGCCAGCGGGCGGAGCTGGAGAAACAGAGCAGCAAACAGGAGGAGGCGCCGTAAACGGGTGAGGACGGTGTCGTGTAAGTGTCATGTAGCTGGAGACGGACGCGGAGCATCATGGGTAGCAGGCTGACATCCTCCTTTAAACCTTTTCTGTTAAACCTCAGTCGCCTGATTGGCCGAGACGTTCGAGGTCCGCGGGAGAGGAGACGCCGGTCAGGTCTGAGGGCGACCCGATGGGCGAGTCGTCCAGGAAACACTAACACGGTTCATCGCTCAGCCGTCCCTTTATTTCCCATAGGCCTCAGCAGGAACGGACAGCTGCAGACTTTCAGAATAAAAGCTTTACTTCCTGCTGGAGTGTGAGTAGCCGCTCGGCTTTCAGCTGCAGCGGGAACTTTTTATTTTAGTCCTCGACCTCGCCGCCGCCGCCGCTCTGCTTCTCCCATTAACCCACGGGGGAGCGGGTTGCCATGTCGACGGTATGTGACGGACAGAGTGCGTGGGACTGTTGCCATGGCAACCGAGCAAAGGGGACAAGAGAGCGAGAGATAAACAAACAGACAAACAAACAAAGGGAGCGGCCACACAGGAACGCCGAACCTCCTCGTCCTCTGCACTCCACTGAGCGCGTGCGAGTGAGTGTGAGTGTGAGTGTGTGCACAGTAATCACAGTAGTGCTGCGTTGATGTGTAAATACAGCCTGAACATGCTGGATGGAGACGGGTTTTTAGTTTTTCCGACTTCTGCTGGAAAAAACAGACTGTACGGAAGACCATTAGTGACCAAAATCTGCTGAGGGAACAAAATAAAACTTCAGGAGTTCACACTGCAGGGAGCCAGGTGTCTTATTTATTCAGATTTTGATGTTTTGTTGTTTGTACTACTTGAAAATCTTTAACTTTAAAAACCACAAGTTAAAAATCTCAGTGTGAACTTTTAAATAAAAATATGAGGATAAATCCTGGAGCCTGTTAAATCTTACATGAGTTAATTCTAAATGTTAAGAGAGAAATTTTGGAAAATCGAACATTTTTGGTGAGAGTATGTTTAATTTTTTCTCTTGTTGAAAAAGTCGGAGTTGGTTTGCAGCTGGTTTCACTCTGTGGGTTTTGTCACTAATGGGCTTCCATAGTTTCTGTGTGTGCATGAGTCCGTCCACCTCATCGTCATGAGGACGGTGTTCTTCTTCATGTAAATCTCATTTAACATGTTTGTAAAGTGCTGTGGACCAAACAGGTGACAGGTGGATTCGGTCACATGACCGTAGGAGAGGAGGAGTTGAGCGTTATTATTGTGTAAACCTTCCTCGTCGTTGACATCCAGGAAGAAGCACCTGACAGCTTTCTGTTAAAGAGCCGTTTGTTTCAAATCCTGACCAGCGTGCTGATGTTCAGCAGCAGTTTCCTCTTTCAGCCACCAGGGGTCGCCAGAGTGCTGTAAGCGTCCACCAACATGTTCTTCACTGGCGGAGGTCGTCAGTCAGGGTGTTAATGTGACAGCGTGGTCTCGTCTGAGCTCAACGCTGTGTGGAAATGTTGTTTCCCACTTTCAGAGTTCAGATTACAGCCCAGAGCGTCTCTGACACCATGACTGAAAACGAGACGTGTGCCAAAAACTGAACATTAGTCCTGAATCACAGTGTTGATGGACGTGCGTTCAACCAGAGGGATCTAATCTGCTCTGTTTACATCCAGGTTCTGAGAATATTATAAATAATCTACACAATCCTAACGTCTCCCTCTGATCCGGTGAAGATGACTTCCTGTTCAGTAGGTCCTCTTTTAATTCTGAAATAAGTGCTGACCTTTATTTTTTAGACAGTAAAATCTGTGACTTCAGGTGGATTTGAATATTGGCACTCTGTGACTTCTGTACCTCAGCAGGTCTGAAGCTCAGGAACAGGAAGTTTTTTATGTAAAGCTGCGGAGTTTGCACGATGCAGCTCATCAGGCTGACAGTGACGGGGATGGCCTCCAGGTGGCAGCAGAGGATCAATGTTGAACTCTAACGTCAGGGAAAGGCTCTGAAGCTTGTTGGCCACGTAATGCTGGAACCGCCGGCGTCGTCTGTGGAGGAAACTCGAGGCTGTGGAAAAAAGGGGAAACGGCAGCTTCCACGCTGAAATCAGGCAAAACGTTCTGGACTATTATCTCCAGAACAAGCGTCTCCACGCCATGTTTCAGCTGCAGGTACAACGCCACAGAGGGAACATTTCAAAGGTACCGAACAGGAAATCAGTTCTTTGTGAACATTTTTACCTCATAACATGAAACCCGGGTCACTGGGAGTCTTTATGTGACTGAAAACAAGGAAAAAAACGCTTTTAGGTATTCTGGACACAAGAAGTCCGCTCAGTTTAAGCTGGCGTCTTGGGAAAAACCTGAATCCATCCCGAGTTTTAACCTGCATTCTGTCTAATGTCCAGCAGGGGGCGGCTTGTATAGAAGTGAACTTGTGGTCTCAGTCGCAGCTTTCAGGTCTTCGTTTATAAAACATTGACTCATCGTAGTTTTGTCCGTGTTTGAGGTTTGCTCCCCTCGCCTTCTCGCAGTTCCCGACGTGAGGCTGGAAGATTCAGCTGGGGGCGTCTGTGGCATCAGCTAACAGGGCACTGCTGCAGAGCTGTGATTGGTCCATACCAGGAACACAGCCTGTAGTTAAAAGATGGACGGCGCTCTGGGGACCGAGTCATGTTTGGAGCACTTTTGAGGAACTGCGGCTCTGAATTGTTCGGCTCGTTCGCGTCGCTCTCGTCTCGTTGGCCCGTCTCTGAGCACAGCTCCGCCGGTACCTTTGAAATGGCTCCGAACCCTCTGCTGATTCCTGAAGAGTCAGCATCCGTTTGTTTAAATCCATCCTTCAGCTTCTTCTCTTCAACATCAACACGCCTACGGCTGCAGGAATCATTTTTCCATATGTAGATGCAGCGGGATCTTTCAGATTAGGATGAAGGATGAGGAGGAGGTCGGGGTGGATGGAGGGTGAACAAAGCCCTCGGGTCTTCTGAGCTCTGGTTGAGGTTCAGGAAACAATTTTGGTTCAGTGTACATAAATCGTTTGTGGGTTTTTCCTGAGCCTGGACCGGGAGCTGCGTGCAGGTGACCGCCGGGCGGCAGGATTTGGGTCAGCGATGCCGTGGATCTCCGTGCGGAGAAATCGCTGCTTCGCCTGCTAACTTTTCTCGTTTCTGCTCCCGCGGTGCCGACTCCTATTTATCTCTCACATATCCTGTAACACTCCGTGTATTTCCGCACTGTGCAACGTGAAGCAGCGTAGGATGACTTTGTGTGAGCGTCGCGGCCGCTTTCAGCTCTTCGTCTGTGTCCTGTAAATAAATGTTCGCATTAACCTCGAGAAGCCATATCGTAGTTGGGCTGGACACCTAGCTAGCGCTCGCTGCGTTTTAGAGCACTTTGGTTTAGATATTTTAGAGTGACGCAGAGGTTGAGCCTCCTCAGAGAGGCGGCGCCATTAATTTATTCTGCTCGTCTCTCGAAGGACGACAAACTAGTTCCTGTGAAAACTTGCTTTGTTTTTGGGCTTTGCTGCGGCCTGAATGTTCGCCGCCGGCTCGCCGATCGGTATCTGTACATACGCTGTCACTTCCTGTGAGGTTTGGTATTAGTGAAACGCAAACAACTTGTTTGTATCATCCTGAAGGCTTCGAGGCAAAAAATAAAGAGATTTTCAAAAGAAAACATCGACGTTGAGTGTTTTTATTCAAAGGATCGTGAAGAGCTCCGTGCGAGTCACGGCTCCTCTGACTCGGTAGGCGCTGCTGGGATTTGAACCCAGCACCTTCTGTTTACAGGCTCACGTTTTAAGCTGCAGAACCTCGGTGCAACCTCACCTGATGCACCGACTTCAAAGAGCTGTGACAGTCCAGCCCCTTCGATGTGAAAACACTCTTAATGATTGTTATCTGCTTAATGTCTCCTCTTAGTAGTTTTAACATGATTCCTGTCATCTGTATGCAGACGCTGTCATTTCTATTAAACCCTGTGATCTAACTGATCTGCAGATCACACCGAGTGTTTCATTCTGGCTCCAGAGAGCATCAAGGCCCACATTAGACGTCCACGGTAAAAGCTACTGCTCGGCTTCATTTTTGATCTCTGTCACACATGAAGTCTGTGAAGAAACATCACTAAACTCAGGACTGTTGTCTCCAAAGGTGAATTGGAGATGCTTCGTACTAGAGATGGGATTTCCGGCTCTTTTTAGAGAACCGGCTCTTCAGGTTGTTTTGTTGCTTTAATTAATTTATTATTAACAATAATATAAAATTATGCACAAAAGGAATTACTACTGTAAAAAAAAGTGGTTTTATTCATATATGTTTATATATAAATATATGCAGTGGCCCCTGAATCACCTGATCACGCCTGAAGCTGAAGCCTGATTTTTACTTTCTAACTGTTGCTGATGTCAGAAAACTCTCAGGTGACATGTTTTTATGATACGATTCATTTTTAAATGAAGATCTTCTGCAGATATGCGTTTGTCCCTATTGCTATACTCCAGGATCAAGTCATGTTTCTGCACGTCTGATTATTCCAGCAACAGACCTGCTTTATATGATTTAGAGTCCAAAAACAATCCCTATTCATGTTGTACTGACAGCCTGCAGATGTTCAGTTTATCAAAAACAAGTTTAGCTCCTGTCCCTTAAAACCCGCCTCTCTTTTACTATTCAGCCATTTTCTGGAAGCCTGCCGAGGGGCAGCACCCGTTGGTTTCAAGGTTTGAAAGGCTTCTGGTGCCTCGCTGGTTATCAAAAGCTCCAGCTGCTAACTCAGGAACAACTGTTGAAAACGACCTTAGAAGAAATGTTTATATTCATGAGCGTTTTTACATTAATAGAAGAATGAACAACAGTGAGGAGTTATTCATTCAACAGTATTTGTAAGAAACATTGCATATTATATTATATACGAGGGCCAATGCATTTTCATTTAAGAATCAAAGTATACGTTCATTTAAGAGAAAGTAAATAGCAGATTTTTGTTTTGCTTTCAAGAATGCTAAGTTTGAACATCTAAACGTCTCTGTGATGACACGGAGCTCCTGTTTGGCTTTTGTTAGCTTTTTAGGATGGAGGTCATCATTTTTGCCACTAAAGTAAAATTCCATCCATCAGGCAGAGATTTCATACCTGCTGATCTCTAATGTGGAACTTGACCTGCAGTGGCAGGACTATAGCTTCACAGCATAAGTTAGCATGATGATTGTAAGAAGTAAACCACCTCTGTGGCACAGAAAACCAGGATCGACCCTGAGGTTATCGGGATGAGTCAAAGATCCTGTTTCCTAGGCCTCCAATACTATGAAGAAAGACTTTAAGCTTGTCTAAGTAACTTCAGGGTTGACCCTGGGTTTTATTTTACAATCATTGAAATTTTGTATGCATTTCCATTCGCTTCCGCTTATCCTTTTTCAGGGTCGCGGGGGCGCTGGAGCCTATCCCAGCTGTCATAGGGCGAGAGGCGGGGTACACCCTGGACAGGTCGCCAGTCTGTCGCAGGGCCAACACACAGAGACAGACAACCATTCACACTCACATTCACACCTAGTGACAATTTGGATTATCCAATTAACCTATCCCCACAAGCTGCATGTCTTTGGACGGTGGGAGGAAGCCGGAGTACCCGGAGGGAACCCACGCAAACACGGGGAGAACATGCAAACTCCACACAGAAAGACCCCGGCCTGATGGTGGAATTGAACTCAGGACCTTCTTGCTGTGCGGCAACAGTGCTAACCACCGTGCTGCAACATTAATATTACTATATGATTCTTTAATGTCATTTCACTGTGCTTGCTGTCAGGGCGCCGATGTATTTTTAAACGGACCCCAGAGCAGAGAAGACGGAGCTGGTTAGCAAAACAAAAGTGAGCCTTTGAACAACTATGAACTGGGAAAACGATGACTGCGGTGTGGAACAACAGACCAGGGCCGTGCAGAGAGGTTTAAAGGGGCGGGTGCTCAAAGTTAAAAAGGGGCACATTGAGCCAGGCTGAATAACAACAACACACATTCATCAGGAATCTAATATGGGCAACAAGGCAAAGCAAACGTAGCCAATGCTTTACCTGATGGTACAATGTTGGAGGGCGGGGCTGTGCTGAGACTGTAGACAAAAAAATTTAATGTGTGCGTGTGGAGTCCTGTCTGTGCCCCTCAACAATAATATTTAACTATTAATCACAGTTTTGCTAAATAAAAGGATCTGGCTTGCATCAGTCACATGATCACATTTAACCAATGATCGCCCTTGACGGCAGAACGCGCTGGTTACGAGCCGGGAACGAGCTCACAAAGAGCACGCGCATTTTTTGCGGTCCGGAGCTGTAGGAGAAACACAAGTTAACTCAGAGACACAGACTGATGCGACAAAACCAGTAAGTAGGTGTACAGCGTACACTGTAGTGTGTAGCACACAGGAGTATTAGCTTATTACGTACACGTTGGTAAGCTGTCTTGTTGCAACTGACGAACTGAAACAAACGAGCGTGCTGTGTGTGCAACAGCGCGACAAACATTACCTGTCCTTTTATTAACTGCACAAGTAGTGCTGGTCACAGCTGCTGGCTACCTGTGTAAGGCTGTCATGGGTCTGTAGCTCTGTCACCGTTTTAGGGAACATATTTAGTTTTAAAGTAAGTTTCCGGGCTTTTCCTGCCTTTCTGGAGGGATTATATTTCACTAAAAAACGATCTAATATGCATGTCCACATAATAATTATTATAATTATAATATATTAAAAACACACGCTGTATTTTAAAGAACATACATTAAGAAGCAGATTATATTAGATTTATATTTTAAATAAGACAAAATTTGGATTTTACAGCAGTAAAATGATTGTATCTCTACAGTTTAAACATGTAATAAGCTTTGCCCCTGCACAGAGTGGATAGTGAAACAAATGGAATCATCATAATGACATTATTTCATATTTATTACTTCCCCCTCCTCATTGCTTTATTATTGTAGCTCTAGTAATAAATAATAATGTAAGGATTCTGGATCAGCACCATGATGCCCATAGTATATACAGTATTCTGAAGAAGGTCTAAAATGTCACTGTGTGTGCATGTGTGTGTTTTATTTAGATGGATTTACTCATGATATAACATTGTCCAGACATGGCTGGTAAGGACATGAGGAGGAAACAGCAGGAGCTGTGTGAGGCTACTAAAGGCAGGGCTATAACATTTTTCTGTCATCATTTTATTATAGATTAAGTGCTGGAGTTGTTAGGTGTGGATAATTAGATTATAGTTTATTGCAATAGCAAGTTGTGCCTTGTTCTCAGATAGACAGCAAGTGGAGAGTGATATATGAAATGATGGGATGGAAGGAAGAAGAGAAGCAAAGAGTGATTCACAGGCAGAGCCTAAATTATTTCTCACAGTTTTTGTTGCCTTATGGTTCCAAGCGCTGTCACCAATCTTTGCATTTTGTTATTATCTCATGACACAGCTACCATCTCTCCTGTGGACTTTTTACTGTCTACAGTCTCAGCACAGCCCCGCCCTCCAACATTGTACCATCAGGTAAAACATCGGCTACGTTTGCTTTGCCTTGTTGCCCATATTAGATTCCTGATGAATGTGTGTTGTTGTTATTCAGCCTGGCTCAATGTGCCCCTTTAAACCTCTCTGCACGGCCCTGGATACAGCCACAGACTAAATACACACTAGAGGTAATCGGGGGAGTGGAAACACATGAGGAAACAGCTGACACTAACAAACCTAACGACTCTGTCAAAATAAAACAGGAAACACTGAGAAAACACAATAATCAAAGAATAAAACTAAAATACACAAAACACTGAGTGGCAGACCCGGTGCTGTGACACAGACAGGACTTTGTACCTACGCTGAGGCTACTACTGGCTAATCTTCCCTCCCTCACATAGTGACAGTTTTTCCAGCAATGACATCATCTAGTAAATGAATTCATGGCGTATGCCAAATTTGGCAAGTTCAGGTCGTGAGTTATCTAAAAATAAATCTGTTCGTCATACAAAGAAACAACTTGATCAACAGCTGATAAACTCATGTCATTGAACTTGGTCTCCCACTCGCATCTAAATATGCGTCTGAGGTCTGATCGGGTGAAGCTGGTTCTGCTGTAGGTTACCACTGTTGCACTGTGCTGTGAACACTGAGGAAGTTTACCCACACACACAGACCAGTTCCTCCTCTTTGACTCCCACCACCCTCGGGAACACAAACTGGGAGTAATCAGGACAACACAGAAAATGTTCCCACAAAGGAACGCACACGTGCAAAGGAGGCTCTTAAAACATGGTTATCATCAAATCAGAGAAGCTGCACAGAAACGAAGGTCAGACACCAACGAGGGAGAATCAGAAGGACAAACAGGAAGTCAGGTTTGTCAGACAGTCTTCTCCCAGCATGACGTCCCAGTGTAGCTCAGACACACAACAACACAGCAGTGCAGGGAGGACCTCTGCACAGGAGACAGATGCAGTGAAAGAATCCATGATGCAGTCTGATCTCCTTCGTCTCCAGGTGGATCAATCCTGTGCTGATGGTGAGCCGCCACTCTTTGTTCGCCTCTTGGATCAGAGTTAAAATCCTCCTGCTGAGAGATTACGGTGTTTCAAACACCTGAGACCGCGAGCTTAGCTCCTCCTTTAAACTTACCTCAGAAAGCGCGGCCACATGGCGGGCAGGTCGCCGTCTTTTCATTCTGGTAAACTTCGATGTTTATTTTTAATTCCTCTCTGAGGTACGGTCTGATTGGCTCATATTTCACATCAAACTTATACGTTTAGTTTTGGTATCATCACTTTATTTTTGAGGCGCTGGGATCGTCCATATCAGGGAGCAGGCGTGCTGCGTTTCAGACCGGACAGAAAATGGGAAATTCCAGTTTCCAGAATGGAGAAGAAGCAGCTCAGTGTGAAAGTGAAACAACAGATTTATTGATCATTTCATCCACCCAACTTTTCAAAAAGGTTATTGACACAACACACATACTCTTTAATAAAGTGAAATTATTACAGGGAAATGAAACATAAGTTAAAAAGAGCACGCTCTGAGATCTATGGTACAGTTTCAGCGTCGATTCGTCCATCCTCTGTATTTGTTTTATAAAAAACTTCATCTTGATTCGCTGAGCTGGATTTCAAATGTTCGTCTCGATCCTACAGGAAGCAAACGTTTACAGTCCGATCTCTGAAACCCGCTGCAGGTTTCTGATGGATCGCAGAAGGATGGTGCTCGTGACGCACTCGTCACTGCACGCCCGCGGGCGGCTCCACGTCCTCCATTGGTTGGCTGCCGAAGCCGCTGTCGACAGTGACGTCTGAAGAGAAGAATAAGAACGAGGTGAGTGGGTCTGTTGGACGTAACAAAACGTAAGCAGCACTTCGATGTTAGATGTGAGACTAAAAACAGATTCCAGTCGTCGCTGTTCTGCACATGCTCAGTATCGTCCTGCTCTATCGCTGCAGCGTGTAAAACATCAGATCTGAGCAGAGCTAACGGACGCCTCCGTCAGTTACCTGTGTTGTGTTTGTCGTCTCGGAGCTCGGCGTTCCTCAGCAGTCGGACTCCTTCTGTCAGACCGAGAGACTGCAGAGCTTCAACCAGGCCTTCGACTGCACCTCCACCCAGCTGCAAACACACACAAACGTTTAATCTGACCTGCAGCCGTCACAAAGCACACCTCTGCAGCTTAACGACTGCCACGAGCTCCTGTGAGATACATGAGTCACACTGCTGCAGTACCCACATACTCCACCAGGAGGAGCCCATGACATTCAGTTTGTTTCAGTTCTTATTCTACAGAAAATCACCGAAGTCCCCTCCAGGTGCTTTACGCGGTACGTTAGAGACTCGGCAGTAATAACAGACGCGTCGCTGCTCACAGGTATCACAGGTGTGTCTGACAACCTGATCGAGATAAACAGGAAACGTCCCTCACAGAGCCTTCCTCTAAATAATAAACTGACAGCGATCATGTGACTGTGTGCACAGGAAGCAGCAGCACAGCTTACGGAAACATCTACGAGCACCAGCGATGCTTCCTGTTTGTGTCGCAGAGCCGGGGCGTGGCTGGCAGGTGAGCTGTTTTCAGGGTAAAGACCCTAAAACGGTGGCGAGGACGAACTCCCTGTTAACAGGAAGAGACCTCTAATTGACTCGGGCAGAGGGAGAGGCGGACACGTGGGGTGCCATCACGTGAGGCCGGCTGTCAGACGTGACCCCGCGCAGCCTCAGCGAGGCACGTGTGCGGTGGGCGTGGCTCTTACCTTGTAATGGCGCAGCAGCTGGCGGCAGGGCGTCGGACTATCCTGGTACAGGTGAGTCAGCGTCATCATGCCCAACTTCTCCGCCAGTTTCTTCCAGGGGACGTCGCCGACGCTCAGCACGTTCACGAGCCGTGACATTGTGTCCTCGTCGAGCCCCGCGCGCTCAACCTCTGTGGCGGCATCGCAGCTTCACGTTAGCTTGTTTTTAGTAACATCTGAAAGCCGATCAGCTAAAAAGAGAAAACCGACGAACCTTCAGTGCTGCTGGTCGTCGGTCTGATGTTCCCGCTGCCGCGGCGATCCGGCTTCGGACTCTTAGATGGCGACAACACTTTCCTGACCTGAAGAGGTGATGTAGCCACACACAACAGTTTCTCTGTTAGCGTCCTCACAAACCGTAACAACCTTCAGAAAATGCCACCTGAGGGTGTACTCTGATTACTCTGAATCGATTACCCCGCTGTTTACGCAGTTGGTCGATCACATGTACATCTGTCGTCTCTACATCTGGAAAATATGCTTTTATTTTGAAAGTACAACTTACCTTTTGGCATTTAGCCAGGTCCAGGGGGGTGTGGCCTCCTGCAGGTCTCTTGCGGGGATTGGATGTCTTTGGGGCGACCTCTCGCTCTTTCTCTTCTTCTCTGATTGGTTCATCTTCATCGTCTGAGGAGGAGGAGCTGAAGAAGAGCGGCTCATCGTTCTCGATGGACTTATCAGCACCTGAGGAACAGCCCACCTTTAATCACCTGTTCGTTAAACGTGGCTCCGCCTCCCTGTGTGTGCGTGTCTCACCTGCAGCGATGAGCATGGAACAGAAGGTCGGCGAGCTGAGGCTTGCGGCCAGGTGGAGCGGCGTGTTTCCTCCAAACGTGCAGGCGTTAACGTCAGCTCGGAGCTGGAAACACACAAAGACATTAATGACATCAGATTCACACTGCAGGTCGATGTAAAGAAGCTCCGCCCCCTGCTGTGTCTCGTTACCTCGGTGATGAGCAGGCAGGCCACCTTGAACAGGTTTTCTCTGACGGCCAGGTGGAGGGCGGTGTTCCCGCTCTTCTGCTCAGGCTCGTTTATTTTGGCTCCGCCCTCCACCAGCAGACGCAGGCAGCGCTCGCCGTCCCTCCTCACAGCCAGGTGAAGTGGGTGGAGGCCTGACGGAGAGAAACGTTTCGGTTACTTTCAGCCTTTTATATTTCTGTGTGTGTGTGTGTGTGTGTGTGTGTGTGTGTGTGTGTGTGTGTGTGTGTGTGTGTGTGTGTGTGTGTGTGTGTGTGGGGGGGGGGGGCGTCCTCTCACCGTGGAAATCGGGCATGTTGACCAGGTGGGCGTGGCATTCTCCCAGGTGAGCCAGCAGGAAGCGAAGAATGTTGTGGTCCCCGGCCAGCGCCGCCAGGTGGAGGGGGGTGCGGCCATCTTTGTCCACCAGGCTGGGGTCAGCCCCCGCCTTCAGCAGCACCTCCACCACCTTCACCTGCCGTGTGATCACCGCCAGGTGCAGGGGAGTCTGCAGAGGAGGAGGAGTCAGCGGTCACGTGATAAGGATGTTTGCAGCTTCCTGCAGCGCCCTAACCTGCCCGACAGGTGTGTGCTCCGTGCTCCGATCAGAGCACAAACACTCCAAACAGGAAAAACTTCCCAGGACTTTACCTGCGCATCTGAAAACACCTGATCTGCCAGTTTCTGCTTACCTGTCCTCAGACTGCAGCTAAAAAGATGAGGCGAGTTCTAGTTTACCTAGTAACCTGTAAACTATGCAGGATGTTATTACCTGTTACAGCTGGGTTTACTCATTATCTACATCAGACAGGAAGGGGAGGAGCTTACCTGCTGGAGGTGGTTGGCTGTGTTGATGATGCCTTGCTGCTGGCTGCTGAGCAGAGTGTGGATCAGCTGCTGGATCACACCTGTCTGATGATGGATGATGGCCAGGTGTAAAGGTCTGGAAGGAGAAACAAACACGTGAAGCCACCAAACAAACCTCAGAGGAGAAACTTGCTGTGATTGGTTCTCAGAAACACTCACGTGTCTCCGTTTCCATCTTGGATGCCACACAGGTGTCTCTGGATGGCGAGGAGGACGCGAGCGTCTCCGGTGCTGCAGTACTGCAGCAGGGCCGTGGCGGTCTGCCGGGCGCTCTGAGAGACTCTGCTGTTGAGGGCGGCAGCTGGAAACGCAGCACAGGTGGAGGTTCAGGTGAGAGAGCGTACAGCGGCACGTCATCGGCGTACGACGAGAGGAGAACAGTTTTGTTTCTTACCGATCTGAAGGAGCTGCTGACGGAGCGGCGAGTCGCTCTGTCCTCCTGTCTGTCTGTCGGTCTGCTGCTGCTGCTGAGCAGCACCTGACTGAGGGGCGGAGCCTGACATCTGAGCCCCTCCCCCATTACCGAAGCCAGGGAAAGAGACATTAAAAAAGCCTCCCGTTCCTGCTCCTCCCCCCCCTCCATTCATCTCCTGGTGGAACTGAAATCCTGCAGAAAGAAAATTCAAAACTCAGGACGGCTGAGGAAAGCCCGGCGCCGCGTCCGTTTGAGTCTGAGAGACTCCTTCCTCATGTTCATGCGAGGAAATCCCCCTTCTCATGCCAATCTTAGAAACATTTTCCTACCTCCTCCCCCTGATCCACCAAATCCCCCGGCTCCTCCTCCTCCTCCTCTTCCTCCTCTCCAGTGCTCATAGTGAGGCAGCGGCTTCTGCTTCTTCCTCAGCACCTCCTCTTTGTCTGCGAGGGAGAGAAGACGAGACGATGGTGACGGAAAACAAACTAGAAAGTGCGCTTCGTGTCTCTCGCTGCTGTGTAATGAACACCTGAGTGAGTAGGTGAGGACTGAAAGTCTGTGCATGGCAACAGTTTCCACTGTGGGAAACCCCAGAGCTGTGACCTTTAACCCCAAACATCTGCGAGCCTCTGTGGGGATTTACCGGCAGCGCCTGGTTAGAATGTGCTGTGTGCAGCGTGGCGGCTCACCTAGGACTTGCGGGATGTAGGTGAACTGTTTGGGGTCACTGCTGTCGCCCGCCTTCTTCCTCCTCAGCTGCAGGAAGACGGTGACGGGCCGCTCGATCTCTGTGCTGTGATAGGCCGGCGTTTTGAACACGATGGCGTACTGCAGAGAGGAGACCAATTACTCAGTGTTAAGTGTTTTCTTCTTCGTGGCCTCTATTAGACCAGCTTTGCATGAGTGAAGGCTCGAAATAATCCTTCTTTACATTACACAGCCCCTCAGATCACCCTTGGCCTAAAATAAGCTGTTGTAGCTCCTCCCCCTTTAAGACAATGCCAAAGAGCCTCCAACACCACGGAGAACTGCCCGTGTATGGTCTTCTTGTTCCACAGGGGGCGCTCTTAAGCTGGTAAAAGCGTCTTTATCAGCACGCAGTAGCAGAACAGCAGTGCCTTATGGGAAACATCAGCTCCACTGCGAGCCAAACTAATGGGCTGGTTCCATTTCAGTTCAGACATGTGATCCACGATGGATCTCTACTAAATAAACGCCTTATTCCTCTCTGAGCACGCTCACAAATGCAAGACTTTAAAGTGGGTGGGGCTTCTGTGGCTGGGAGCTACCTGCCCTTTGTGACATCATACAGAGCAGGAGTAGAAAAACCTGAGGTGAGTGCAGTGATGAGAGCATTTATAAAAACACTGACAGTCGTCTGTGTTCACTGTGCACAGCTGCAGTGCGTCACATGACTTCCTCTTTAATGACGTTACACATGCTGTGCTGTGCGTGGGGGCTTTCCTGCACATCGAAAAAAGCCACCGACACTTTATTAATATTATTTTCACAATTTTTAACGTCACACACCACAAACCCACAAACTGCAGGTTTATTGTGTTGAAGGCTGCCTCTGTTTGTCTCTCAGCGACTCAGACATTTCCTACGAAGCAGATCTGAGACGGGATTTCTGGCAGAGCTGCTTCCCCCAAACGCAGCCTCAAGCTGAAGCTGAGGCAGGTGAACTCGTCCAGCGGGCAGATGTGTCTGCAGCCCGTTTGGAGGAATTCCCCTCAGAGCGCGCACACACGCACACACACGCACACACACACACACACACGCACACAGCACACACACACACACACACGCACACACACACACACACACACACACACGCACACACAGCGCACACACAAGACACACACACACGACACACACACACACACACACGACACACACACACACACACACGACACACACACACGCACACACACACACACATCGCACACACAGCACGACAACACGCACACACACGACACACACGCAACAGCACACACACTGCAGACACAGCATCACACACACACACACGCACACACACACACACACACACACACAACACACACAGCACATCACACAGACACACACGCACACACACACACACACACACAGCACACACAGCAGCCACACACAACACCACACAGCACACACACCACACACACGACCACCACGACACACACCACACACACACACACACGCACACACCACACACACAAACACACACAGCACACACAGAACACACACACTGACACACACGCACACACATCACACACACACACACCACACACACACACACACACACACACTCACACGCACACACAGCACACACACGCAAGCATCGGACACACGCACACAGCTAACATACCACCACACACACACACACACGCACACACGACCCACACACGACACACACGCAACACACACAACACACACACACACACACACACACACAGCACACACACGCAGACACACAGCACACACACACACACACAGCACACACACGACACACACGCACACACACGACACACACACACACACACACGACACACAGCACACACACGCACGCACACACACACACACACACACACCACACACACCAGACACACACAGCACACACACAGCACACACCAACACACACACACACGACACACACACGCAACGACACAGCACACACACACACACACACACACAGACACGACACACACGACACACACAACCACACACACACACACACACCACACCACACACACACACACACACACACACACAGCACACACGCACACACAACACCATCACACACGCAAAACACACCACACACAGCACACACACACACACACAGCTACAGCACACCACACACACACGCAGCAGCACACGCACACACACACACAGCAGCACAGCACACGCACACACACACACACACACACACGGCACACATGCACGCTAAACCCAACACACACACGCACACAGCACGCACACACAGCACGAACACAGAACACACACACACACGCGCACACAGCACACACACCACACGCACACACGCACTACACACACACACGCACACACACACGCAGCACACACACACGCAGACACACACGCGACACACACACACACACACACACACGCACACACACACACACACACACCCACAGCACACGCACACACACACACACACGCACACACACACACCACACACACCAACACACACAGACACACAACACACACACACACACAACAGCACACACACACACACACACACACACACACACACACACACACACGCACACACACCACACACACGCGCACACACACACACACACACAGCACACACATGCACGCACCGTGTTTGTGGGGACATTAACTGGCACAGATCCTTCTCCTCCTGCTTCCCTAACCATACCCCAAATGTAACCCTGACACTAAAACCACATTTTGAGTCTCCAACTTGTGGGGGCGGGATACTGGTTCCCACACACACACTTACCTGTTTGTGGACGTCCGTAGGTGAGAAGTCCCCAAATGCCTCCCAGCATCCGTCCTCGTCCTCCTCGTAAAACCGGATCTCGATGTCATCTGAGGAGCACAGAGGCATGATGGGATATGTCTGCAGCCTGAGCGGCGGTGAAAACAAAGCGCTGAAGGTTTGTTGTTTACCTTTCTGGACTTTGTCGCAGAGCAAGAAGATCTCGTCTCCTCCGAGCACCGAGCCGCACGTCTTATCCATGCGGGAGATCTTCAGGTTGGAGGCGTTGGGAGACTCTGCAGGAGGAACAGATTTTTATCAGAGCTTCTGTCAGCGTCTGCAGTGCGGTTCATTTTCTGCTTCTTCATCAGTTACATTGTTTACTTTAATAAACAAACTGGTTACTTCAGCACTAAACACGTCTGCAAATACAGCTCATCGTTACAAAGTTCACTGCGCTCAGATCAGCCGAGCAGGACGAGGACTCACTGCTGTCGTAGATGGGGTTGGAGACGACGGGCTTCAGCGCTCGGGTGAAGGCGCCGGTGCTGTCCTGCAGGTAGGCGGTGAACTTTAACCTGACGATGTTCAGGTCCATCGTCTTCCCTAGCTCCTTGGCCTCCTTCACGATGGCCGACTCCTCGACATCTGTAAACACGCACGAGTTCGACACCTTTTATTCTGCTCGTCCCGCTGAGCTGATCGCTACGTTTACAGTCTGACGTTTGTGTGCGGACATGACAGCACGGCATGTTCTGATGCTTAAAGAAACAGGAAGTTCAAAAACTGAAAGGAGAATTCTGACTTTCTGTTTCTGAACGTCTGAAACCAAAACGATTACTTATCGTTTCTGAAAACGAACAGCAAACCATTTTAAACGGTGACAAAGCGAAACAAAGACTCAGGACTGAGGTGTTCAGGTGAGTCTACCTGTCAGGTGACAGTGCGGCCCTTTGAGCCGCTTCTTCTCTTCTCTCAGCCTCCGGGTCAGAACTTCAACCACACCCTTCTTGGTCACATGGAGGATCCCCAGGTTGCTGAACCTACAGGAAGTGACATCATCCATTATGCACAGTCTCTTTTCTACATAAAGGTCGTGACTGCAGTGAAACACAGGCAGCGATGTGTTCAGTGTGTTTTTGTTTTTCTCTCTGGGTTTTTTCATTGCAGTAAAGATTCCCAACACTTTGCTGGATTTCATCTGAATCTCAGACAGAAAGCTGCGACTTCCTCTTTGGACTTTTCCCTCACAGCAGCACAAAGAGGCACAAACACACAAACCGTCTGCCTCTCTGTCTTTAAACTGTCTGACACTAAATCCAAACTTTAGAGCAACAAAGAGCACATCGAAAACAACATCCAACTGACAAAGAAAACGAAATAACAATAAAATAAATATTAAATAAAAAAGATTCAAAGTGACCAAAGACTGACTAGAAGCTGACTCTGAGGGGGTCCTTGTGTTTTTTAATAATAATAATGGTATCCTGAGTTTGGCTGCCCGTAAAATTATTACCAAGAAATGGCTTAGTGCGAAAATTCCATCACTGGGTGATTGGCATGAGACTGTACATGGGATGTTTAAAATGGAAAGAATTACCTTCATTAAAAGACTCCAGTTTGATATATTTAGTGAAATTTGGGGTAAATGGAAACACTACATCTGGTTAAGGAGACCCGATCTTGTTTGAATCTCTGTAACTATATATGTCACATTTTTGAATCGTTATGTGTTTATATGTATATGTTGGTATGTATGAGACTATAAGTGAACACATATGTAAGTAGGTATGTGTATGTATGCCTAAGAATATGGGTGTGTGAGTGAATATGTGTGTGCGAATACATACACACTAGAGGGTACACCCGTCTGTTTTTTATTTATTTATTTTAATTTTAATTTTTTACTTTTTATTTACGTCTGTTCTTGTTTATATGTTTATTTTGGATTATTTGTGTTTATATAGGTTGTTTAATAAAAAGAGAATAATAAAAAATAATAATAATAATAATAAGGCCAAGGGGAAGTAAATAAAAAGGGAGGGGGTAATAATGCCGTGATGTGATTGGATACTGACGAGGCGGTGAGGTCGTTGGGGCCAATGTCGATGGTGCAGGTGCCGTTTTCGACGCAGTGGCGTCCAACCAGACTGTGGGCGTGGACGCGAGGAGGGTCGGTGTGCGTCACTAGCTGGACCTCGACCCGGGCCAGACCCACGTAGTTATTGATCTGAGGAACAAAGACAGCATTACGGTCTGCACGCCACAGGCGGGCTTCAGGTTGGACTCCATGAACAGCTTTAATAAAAATGGTGGATGTTCTGGTTAAAGGTGTGTAAAGATGAAGGCTGGAGGTTCTGCAGTGGTGAACTTTGAGCCACGTGTTGCACAATTATTACACAAACATCAGAAAACGTATTGTGGGAGAACGTTTCAAAACCTGCTTTAGGACACGAACGATAAAGAGCCCAGCGTGGAGCCCTGTGGGACACTGGCTTTTACGTCATTACCCCACACGCGTGGCTCTCTGAGGATAAACATTTATGTTTATTATTGCTAAGAGCTCCTCCGAGCGTCTCCACGCACAGGGAGATCAGGTGTAGTACCGAGCTGTGGATGGATTTCCCCAGACGATTCCCCCGGCTCTCCCACATTTCCTGTCCTGAAAATACCCGATAAAAAAGTTCCAAAAAGTCTTTAACTGTAAATGTAGAGAGACAGCACGAACAGGGACGCTCACCGGATTCTGTCACCGATCAGTGTGCGTGAAGAACATTTGTTCCTCAAACTGTCGTGAAGATCGGTACAAATGTGGCGCTCGCCCCCACCTGGCTGGAAACTCCACGTCCACATTTCCCGATCAGCACTGATTGATTATTGGATCGTTCATCCAGAAACAAATGTCCGAGGGTTTGTTTTTTAAAACGACCTGACTGAGTTCAGTTTTAGGTCGACGTACAGAAACATTGACCGCCGGAGAGGTGATCGTGGCAAAATGCCGAGGTTGTTATTGACGTGTGTTACCCACCCTCACTGTGGGGTACGTTCTCTTGTTCTTCTCGCTGGAGGCCCCCGGGAGCCCGCCGTGTGATGGACCCTCGCACTCATAACGGAAACGAAATCCCCTCTGTAAACACACACGTTAAAGATAAGCACAGCAGTCAAGATAAGGGAACATCTGTATTTGTTTCCCTGAGCCGTCACGCTCACAGTTTCACTTTCTCTTCAAAGCAGTGCATGAATTCAACATTTAAAACAAGGCGACGGGTCTGAAACTGTTGTTCATTTCATTACAAACAGCTGCTGTGTGCATGACTCGTGATCTTAAACTTTATTAAAACTTTATTCTGAAGAAAAGCTAAAAATGCGACTGCATATCAGAGCCGGTGTGCAGGCTGTGGTGCTGTGAGCGTTTGCGTCACTACTTCAGCACTGGTTGCGTAAACTCGGCACTTCCTTTGTCTTCAGAGCAGAACTGAGCGATTTGCATAGAGACAGTCAGCAGACACGCAACCTTTAGCAGCAGAAACTCCCTGTTTGTGCTCGTCGGCTCTGTCCCGTGTTCTTATATGACTGTTGGGAAAACCCTGGATAAAAGGAAGTGACTGTTGTATTAACGTGTGGGATCAGCCCGCCGGGGAAGCACCGTTCTGAGTCTGAACGAAGTCTCTTCTTCCTGTTTGAGCTTCAGCTCAGGTCGGAGCTTTGAGCTCATTCATCACCTCACGCTGTTCAAATCCTTTGTTTGTTTGCTTTGCCATGCAGGGCATCGTTCGGCTTCACGTTACACACAACAACAAACACAACAACAAACACATTTTTGTGTCGTGCTGCTGGTGTTACGTCATCACGCTGCATCCTACCACAGCTGTAGACTTTGTATTGTCAGAGCTTTTCTACTTCAAACTTTAAAACATCAGGATAAGACGTTAACGTTATGATGTCTGTGGTAGGCTCAGGGGAATAAAACTGGACTGGGACAAAGCAGTGAACCCGACTCTGATCCCTGTGGGACTCCATCACCAGCTACAGCACTTAATGGACCGTTCATCGGTAATGCTAGCGTCTGTTAATCACTCCACCGGTGAATAAAATTCAAATGAGGACTAACAAAGGAACAATCACGTTTAAACCATTGTTGAAGATCTGAACCACCAAGAATCCAGGTTTATCAGGCCGTCTGTGTCTTATTGCTACACTATATTGTTGACGACTGCTTCGATCTTTATCACCTCCATGTTTCCACTGCAGTCTTTATCCACCCACCGCTGCCTTGTCGTGTTTGTAACAGGAAGTAAGATGCGAGTCTCACCTGTTTGGGCTCTTCGATGATCTGAATGTACGGGCCGTGAGCTACAACACAAACACAGGTGAAGAAAAAACACTCGTCAGTCGCTGTGACTGATCATTTCTCAAAATCATCATCAACTTTCACTATTTCATCAGCGAGATGTTACCAGACGTGAGTAAATTCTAGAAGGTTCTAGATGACCAGGTGTTATTCGCTGGAGTTTTGTGGAGTTTCTTGTAACATGTTACAGTACTGATGCCCACTAACCGACACACACTTCTGGGTATGAAACCCAGACTGTACATGTTTCTAAAACTGAGGGAGGGTACTGGGGCGCCCCCAGGGCAGGATCAGAGAGCTGAGTCCATCCTGAGCTGTTTGAGGTTGTAGCAAAACCTAAAGATGGTGAAAGGCTCTGGACTTCACAAGGCTTGGTTTCAAATACACTCGTGTGTTCTCAGGAGCTCCTGACTCCAGCCTGACCGTGTTCTCAGTCAGACCCGTTAATGGTTCACCTTTGACCTTTTTAAACCAGATGTTGTGGTGCAGTGGGATGCTTCAGACAGGAGGTCAGTGTGTGAAAGGCAACAAACTGACTTAATTAACAAACACAAATGAGAGTCTGCAGATTGATGTTGTTTCCTACAATGGCACGCATCTTTTTTCTGATTAAGGAGGCAAAAAATGAGCTGGGAGTTCAACCTGTTCCATAGTTTGACGTGACTGTGACATCGTCCTGAATGCTCACCTGTCTCAGGCATGAAGGGCTCTGTCTTTATGTCCACTGGAATATAGTCGTACGGCATGAACTGCTGCAGCTGAGGACGAACAAGCAGAAACATCTTTAACAGAGCGTCGATCGATCGTCTTTACAGCTCAGACCTTTCAGTACCATCAGACTGTGCTGTCGGTGTAAAAGCACATGTTACAGTTGTGACGTATAAAGGCAGCGGGCCCAGTGTCGATCCCTGTGGAACACCTCCATCACACAGGAAGCGGCTCGTTCGTTGTGCCTGACTCTGTGGCTTACGATTGGTGGACATTCCAGACTCCAGTTGCCTAGGTAACCCTTGTAAAACAGTTTCAGGGGCTTCATAACGTTCCTGTGAATCATCGATTTATCGGCAAAACTGACACATCTCTGGTATCAAAATGATTGATCAGTTAAACGTGAATCATTAGCGCTGTAAACCCCCTCGCAGCCCCTCAGATTTCTGCTTTTTAACGAGTTTCAAACGAATCGGTTATTTCTTACCGTAACTGAAGCACTCTGTTCTGTAACTGCCTCTACTTGTTTTACACCTTTCTGCATGATTGCATTCAGCTGCACAGAATTCACTCATATAGAGAATGAAGAAGATTTTAAATGTCGTTTTTGGGATGCTTTACCAAATTTAAGCTTGTAAGTTGCACATTAATCCTGAGCCACGTCTACAGGAGCGACAACTGCTGCCGTCCTGATGAACGCACCGCGCTGAGCTCGTACTCCAGCAGCTAACCTGAAGCAGACACCCAGTGCAAACATCTGGAGCCTGTTTGGCTTGTGGTGGGCCTCCTCAGTTAATGAGAAGCAGGAACAACTTTATTCAAACGCGTTGTTGTTGCATCAAAGCGAAAACGAGCAGCAACCGACTGAAGCTCTGCGACGCTTCGTTGTGTCACCTGCACCTCTCGCCTGGTTAAATACAAAGCTGTGCTTCTTTGAATGAGAAGTGGCTTCCTCTTAAACTGGAAACGGTGTCATTGCTCCTGAGTCAACATCCAACACTGATCCGATCCTCGCGCACCGTATGAAAAGTTTTCTGAACTGGTTTTGTGTCGCTGCTTCCTGCTGAGGTCTCCACAGGTTTACAACAAAGAGCCCACCGCACGCTTTGATTTCAGGCTTTGATGTAAACGCGTCTCTTCTTTTAGACATCAAATAAAACTTCACAGATGTGCAGAAAACCTCTGAATCCACTCAGGATGATGTAATCAGAGGAGACCTGAAATCATTTCCACGTTCTCGTGTCAGAACGAACGGTTAGAGCGAGGCTCAGGCACGCTCGCTGATCAGCTGGATTAAAAACACACTTCCTGTAGTGGAGAGAATAAAGACAAATGTAGAGAAAGTACTTACGTCGTGCTCGTAGCCGCCGATGAACTGGGCTTCAGTCATCCTGCAGCACAAACAGAGACAGTCAGTGAGAAGCGTTGAGAAAGTCAGAGGCGTGTCGGAGGAACCATCGGCCGAGCCGAGTCGCTTTAAGCCCCCTCAGGCTGAAGCTGAAAGTCCCGAGAGGCGAACAAAGACACAAGAGCGCAGCAAAGCGATCCAAAGTTCAGCAGTTTCACTTTCACGCACTCAAACACTGCACGACCTCTCTCCTTCCCTCCTTCTTCTCTGCTGTTTGTCTCTAATCTCCCCCTCTCTCTCTGTCCCCTCCCCTTCCCGTATCTCGCTCTGCTTTCAGTCACTTCCTGGAAGTGGCTGAGCTGAGGAAAACCCCCAGAATCCCAGGCCTGCAGAGAGAGGAGGCGGGGCTACAGCTGCTGATGTCACTCTGCTGCTGCCGGTGAGGCAGACGAGGAAGAAGAGCAACAACAAACAAAAAGAAAAACAGAGATAAACATTCGAGCTGAAAAATAAAGCCAGAGAGTCGACATCCTGAGACAGTTAAAGTCTTTAAATAACACTCATGATGGTGTGAACGACTTCTACAGACACAGCTTCGAATGGAAGCAGCCGTGTGGAGCTTAAAGAGCAGTAAATAACTACAGCCGCACTCTCACAGCTTATTTCACCTCATCAGAGCGTCAACAGCTGATGAGGTCTGCAGCACAGTCACGAGAAACCGGCCCGACAGCGTTCAGCCGTCAGACCCCAGCAGTTTAACACCGAGACGAAGCAGCTGATTAAAGCTGAAGCCCAGCGTGAAGCTAGAACCAGCAGACAGGGACGAACCTGCAGAGGTTACAGCTGTGAACGGCGCTCTGTCACAGCCGGGCGTCCGGCTCCGCTCTGCTTCCTCTTTGCTCTCTTTTCTGTCTTTTGCTGGTTTCTTGTCCGACTTCCTGTCCCTCGTCTAACGCCTCTGACTCAAAACTGATGCGAAGCTCACTGCTCTCCCAGCTTCAACCCGCTGTGACGGGACAGCCCCTCTCAGCGCATCGACCAATCAGAGCGCTGTGCAGAGACAAACCCACAAAGGTAGAGTACGAGCGAGATGAGAGAAAACCCGAGGGGAAGTCTGCAGGAATCCACAGAGGTTATTTCTTTCATGTTTCCCTGAAACAGCTTCAGTCATTCGCTTGAATTAACCTGATGAAACATTTCTTCACCTGCAGCGTGAGAAGCACCGAACGCGCCAACCACTCAGACACAACACGATGCAGACACACAAGCAACAGCTGAGGATGCCCATGCGGCACACTTCATGTTTGTGACCTCGAGCAGACGTCCCAGGCTGCTTCCAGCTCCTTCAGCTTGTTTCCCGAAGCATCCGGGCGCTCTACAGCCGAAGAGCTTCAGTCATTCACCACAGAAGAACAGCTGACAGCAGCTGCAGGAATCTTTAAGACCTGCAGTTTAACTGATGTGTGTTATCTGGCTTCACGGACAGAGAGCTGGGTGTCATCAGCATAGCAGTAGAAATGTTTGCTATGATGATCCAGCCTGAGGGAAGCATGTATGATGTGAACAGAGGTGGTCCGAGCACTGACAGCCGCGCGCTCAGTTTGTGAAACTTTATCTTCAGATATCTCAGATATCTTCAGTTTGACTTTTGTGTAATACCGATTTGCACCAGCAGATGGTACAATGAGTCATCGTCACACACATTAATAACATCTGTATTTAAAAAACATGCCAGTGCAAACGTGATGCCACCTTCTTCGTTTGTGTGTATTTAACCAAACTGTGGATCCTGATTCGTCTCACCAGTAAATAAAAACGCTGCAGGTTTGAATGGATCTGAAAGCTTCTTCCACCTGCTGATCAGAGCTTATTGATTACTGCACATTGTTCCTAGTTTAGTTTATTTGTGTCTTTTCTTTATTTTGTTTGATTCGTTCTTCTCGGGTCTTATTCACAGTTTGTGAGTCAGCTGTGAGCTGCACTGACCTTCATGAAACTTGTGCAGCTTGAATCTGGTTATGTTTGGTTTATGATGGTTATAAATAATCAGCCTGAGACGTTCGAGCTGCAGACTGAGTTTCTGCTATCGGCCTGACTGCCGCTCCTGATTCTGTCGCTGCATTTCTACCCCACACTGAAGCAACGAGCAAAGTGCTGCCTAACAAGTAAAAATAAGAATAATCATTTAATAAAGAAAGACAAGAGAAGATAAAAAGTAAAACAATGATAGAAAAACAGAAGCTGAACCCAGTCTGAAGCTGAGAATGATGATGAAGAGAAGGGTTTTCTTCAGTTTGAAGGCTGGTAATGAGGAAGACGATTCTGGAGTTTCACAACGCCCGGTCAGCAGTGCGAACCAATCAGCAGCTAGTAGGCGGACCTCAGTGAATGACACGTGATGTAGACGAACCCCGTAAAGCAGTTGGCGACAATATTTGAAATGTTTGTGTGCACGTCACCGGAAGCCAGTGCAACAATCAGAGGACGGGCCAATAATGGCCACGCCTCCGTGTCAGCAGCATTATGAACCCGCTGCAATCATTATATTAGACCTTTCTACCAGAAACAGACGGTTTAACTTCAGTTAAGTCTAAAGTATGCTGCTTTATCAACGTATTCGATACGTGAGCCAAATGAAAGAATCAAATATGACTCCAACATTACCTGATGTCAGGGCTCAAGATCTGAAGGAGGAGTTATGGAGAGTGCGACCAGCAGCTGATGAACGTCATGTAGGTTCAGAGGGTCATTAATGTGGCCCAAAAAAAATCATTGGACATCCTCTTCCCTCCCTGAAGGACCGGCACAGCACTGGCTGTCTCCAGAGGGCACGCAGCATCCTACAGGACTGCACACACCCAGGACACCGGGTGTTTAAGCTGCTGCCACTGCAGGAGTTTCAGGCTGCTGAGGTCCCGGACAAACAGACTCAAGGACAGCTTTTACAACAGGGCAACAGCCCTGATCAGTGCAAACAGCTGACCTGATTGGCTACCTCCCTGGACTTTTTTGGGGGGGGGGGTAACAACAACAATAATAATAATAATAATAATAATAATAAAAATGTGCAATAAAACATGCACTCATCCCTTTTATTTAGTTAAGTTACTGTGTTGTCCTGTTTGTGTTGTGTGTCGTACTGACACGGGACAGTTTCCAATTTCGTTGTACTGTTGTTCTAGGTATGACTGTGCAATGACAACAAAGAGTTACCAGTCAGAGCGTCATCAGCATAGAAATGATGCACAACATGTGGCAGCACATGCAGTGAAAAGACAAGTGGTCCCAGACCCGAACCCTGAGGTATGCCCCAGAGACAGTATCCGACAGTTCAGGAGATCCAGATCATGTGATCCACTGTATCAGAGCAGCATCACCACCGTCAACAACACATGCGATCATTAACAACAGACAAAAGAGCAGCTTCTGTGGAGCCAGGCTGAAAAACCTGCAGCTGCTGGAAAACCACATCCTCCAATACGTTAGAAGGAAAAGACGAAGAGCAGGACGAGGGTGGAGATCTACAGGTGGAGCGTTTCATGCTTACGTAGACCGTCCCTCAGACTCATAAACATTTCTAAATGTTAAAACAGATGAGACAGTGATTTACAGGCAGGAGGATTCGACCTGTCAGTAACATTAGTTAGTAAGAAACGCTCAAAGTGATGGATCAGAACGTTAGAGCCAATAAGAAACTGAAATGATCTCAAATCAGATCCAGATTATTAACAGAGCTTCTGTCATGAAAACAAACATCTTGTAACCGCCTCGAGTAGAGATTAAAACCTTAAAAGCTGAACTTTAACTTTTCCATTCAGATAAATCAGATTGTTTCCACCAGAGCAGAAATATTTATATAAATATATATATTTGAAAATTTGCGATAACAATATAACTGACGATATAATCGACACGAGACAAAATACTTTACAACTCCTCAACTTTATTAGTGCAAAACAAACATCAGTGTATTTCCACTGAAACAAGCAGCTGTTTTTTATCTGCATTAAAGTTATATAAACATGTAACAGTGCAAATTCCTCGCTGACAGTTTAACCAAAAGGCGTTTCCAGTGGAAACTGGCCGACATATCCTCAGCATAACCATGTAGAATATCCACAACACTTAAAGAGGTTATACACACACAATACGGTAATATTATGTTGAAGCACAGTACGTATCACTCCGCGAGGCTCCGCCTACAATAGCCGTAACGCTCCAACAATCCTAATCCAAACTTAAAAAGAGCGTATACACACACAATACGGTAATAGTGAGGCTCCTGCCTACGATAGCCGTAATGCTCCGACAATCCATCAAGCGGTGCGGCTTCGTAGCTCAGCAAAGTCGTACTGAAACGTCTGACAGATTTTTGAGCGCCGTGCACATAAAATCGTTTCCAGGTCAGTAAACACAACCAGAGTTCATACATAAGGCACACGGGGTTATAAGGGGCTCTGTCGACTTTCAGAAAATCAAAGGATGATTTTAAGTGCGCCGTATTTTCCAAACAACACGGTAATAACGACGGCCCGCTAGCATGCGCTACCAAAAATAGTGCTTTGTTGTGTATCTGACGGAGGAAAGCTAAACCAGTTCCACACCAGTGAAGCTGCAGCATTTTTACAAACCAGTTCAGGTTCATGGTTTCATTCAACGATCCACTTTCGCCCTCCTCATTCTGCGTCACCGCCATGTGCGTATGAAAACAAAGGAACTGCGCATGCGCGTTTTACCCATATTCTATCGCCATATTTCATTTTCTTATCGTTGCCCAACATCATACCGGTGTTACTGTGAACGGTGTGAGATGGCCCAGCACTAGTTTCCACACTGATAAACACATTTATGTTCTTTTTACTGCAGTGATACGAGTGTCTGAATCCACTATTGTTCTGTGATGAGAAGTTCAATGGAGGCGTGTAAAATCAGGAAATATTTGCCATGAGACAGAGAATATTCCCCACATATGAACTTCTAAATGTTACAGCAACAACGTCGTCTTTGCTGCCTGTTAGCAGAACAACTGCCAGAAGAACTTTAAATAAGCCAGGGTGTGTGTGGGCTTCACGGGGACACAAACGCTGCTCTTTTAGTTTCTCATCAAGGAAAAATGAACTAGAACGACTCGAATACACCTGTTATTATTCTCACTACAATATTATTATTTCCTGTTGTTATTATTATTATTGCATACATACACTGAGCTGATACAGGAGTGATGAAGAAAACCGACAGCGTCTAACGTGTATTTTTACCTGACAGGCGCAGACAGGGCATCACATATAATCCACATCTGAGGATGAGATGGTTTGTCAGTTTTATTTTCTTATTCTGACCTGTATTAAACTGGCCCCTGTTGTAAACATCAGGCGCTTCCTGCAGCTTGGCTCTGATTATGAGGAAGAGCAGCAACAAACTGAACGAATAAACCAACGTCAGTCTGCATCAGAGGTTCCCATCGCTTTCAGGTGAGAGCCATATAGAGTCAAACTTTCCGCTGTGCTGGGATGTTTTGTAGCAACCGCTGTTTCAGAAACAACCTCCATGCGCCTTAACGAGGTGTTAGTCATCAGCTGCTGGTTGTCACGGAAACACAAAACAGACTGAGGTCTCAGCTGGTCAGATGATTTATTTAATCTAAAACAGGCTGCTGTCGGCTTGGGACCGAAGCATCAGTCCATCCTCCGTCTCAAACAGGCTCCTGTCTCTTTAAAAACATACTTTTCTCTGATTGGGCAACTTGTGGAAGCCTGCAGAGGGGAACTACGTACCTACATGTGAGCTGTGCTGAATGATGATTTATGCAATCCACGACAGAAAGCATGACGCGCTTCAGAGCGGCGGTCTGTTGGCGGTTTAAAAATGATTTCTTTCCTGCAAATCAAGTCAGGGGCGAGGGGGTGGAGCCTACAGCCGGGGACGCAGACAGTACGCAGGTTTGAGTTCATTTCCTCAGGTGATCGAACACACCTGTCTGGAAACCCACGCAGACACGTGGAGGACAAACACGCCCGAGTGCACCAAGCGTGACGCCGTCACATTTTCACGACCTTTAACCTTTTGATTCATGTTTGTGTTTGCTCTCATTCATCAGCTCACGGTCGGTGTTTCACTGTCAGAGGGTAAAAAACTCGTTTGGAGGACCAATCACATCACTGCTCTTTATGTGTGTGTTTGTGTGTGCTGCATAAAGCGCTGTGAGTGCAGTCGGTGTAACATTGAAGTGAAGTCGTTCTGACTAAAAATGGTGAAAAGAACATGGACCCAAACGTCTTGGGTCGCAGCAGATGGCCCCGCCCCTCCCTGAGCCTGGATCTGCTGGAGGTTTCTTCCTGTTAAAAGGAAGTTTTTCCTTCCCACTGTCGCCAAAGTGCTGCTCATAGGGGGTCATATGATTGTTGGGGTTTTGTCTGTATGTATTATTGTAGGATCTACCTTACAATATAAAGCACCTTGAGGCGACTGTTATAAATAAAGTTGAATTGAATTAATATTACTAATAACAACAACAACAATAATAATAATAGTGCCATGACGATTTAAGACAAAACCCTGGCGCTGCAGCGAGCAGGACAGGAAGTGAGATACACAGCATGCTTTAACTTCAGTGCACAACATACAAAACAAAACAAAAATCACTTTTTGGAGCTTCAGGGCTTCCGTAGAAACCACAGAAACATTCCTGTGCGTCGCTGAGGTTTGAGCAACAGGATTCCATAACAAACAGGAAACGCATCACAGCACATTACAGGGTTAACAGCAGACGTACCGCAGGGCTCCTGCCATGGCTCAGCGCTGATGATGATGATGATGAGGAGGAGGAGGCGGCAGCTGACCTGTTCTTCCTCCTTCAGGGATTTTCCTGTGGATGGTAAGTGAAGGGTTAATGACACAGCTCGGTGCTGATGGAGTCACATCAGTGGGAATTTCCACCCTCCTCCTCCTCTGTGATGTTTGGGGACGATCAAGGAGCTCAGGCCCAACAGACAGTTAAAGGAGCAGTATGTCTGTGAGGAGCAGTCCGCCTTCACCACAGCCTCAGTTTCACAGGGTTAGCTTAGCACAAACACTGAGAACCAATGGAAACTGTTAGCCTAAAACCCAACAGGAGGAGGAGGAGCTCTGGAAAGGTCACATTTACATCTGCTTTCATGTGTTTTTGGAAAAATGTTTTTCAAAAGTTTTTCAAGCTACTCAGAAAAATTCATCTTTCAAAGAAAATGATGAATTTTTTTCAATGATTTGCAAACCAAACGAGGCGTTTAGGCGCCGTCAGAACTTTCTGTTCTACAAACAGACGAGGAAGACTTGCTGAAGCTTTGCTTCCTCCAAATACAGTTTTCTGAACCTTTGACTCTCGGACCTCGGCCTTATTTAAACTCTCCTCAGCTTCTTTAATCCGCTTTGATATTTTCACGTCTGTAAGGTAGAAATTCTCCTTTCATTCATTTTTCCAGAGCGGACAGAAAAGTCTCATTTTAACGTAGCACCATCAGCACCATCAGCACCACATCTGTGCTCGGCGAGCGTCACGTGATTGTTGGCTGCTGTCTGTTGTATATTTGTGAGTCTGTGAGCACCTTGAGGCGACTGCTGTTGTGTTTGGTGCTTTATAAATAAAACAGACAAGATGATTAAATATTGTGAACATCTGTGTCTAGAAAATTCTCTTTTGATCATATTTACAGTAATGAAGTCTGTGGATGTCATCAGAGCGCCTTAAAGGAAAACTTCAGGGTCAGAGTTCAGTGTCATAACGATGAATGTTCCCTAACCCTGCAGATGTCTGACTGCAGCACGGCTGTTTCACGGGTTCGTTTCGGGGAAATGTGCGAGCAGAGCCACACGCGTTGGATCCAACATGAACACCTGGATGGAGGTGATGCAGGTGTGGCGGAGCGCCTGGAGCCGCCTCGGGTCACACGGGGTAAAACGGCCGACGGCAGGGCTGGCGTGCAGCACGCTTCCTGTTAGAAAGGCCTTGTTTCCTCTGGAACTTCTTTCAGGTACATCTGAGCCGCAGGTGGGCCACACCGAGACCACCACACGCCACACTGGAAGTCCTCCTCACTCCGCGGCCCCTCGGCAGGCTCCGGAAACTGGCGAATCTGAGGGCTCGGTATGCGGTAAAGGATCATTTTGAACTGTGAAGCAGCTCAAGAACAAACCCCAGGAGCCGAGCACAGTGGCTATTTAACTGGATTCTTTGCGCCTGACAACAAACACGAGCCTGGATTATAGAAGCAGAACGAGCCAGTTTAAACATCACAGCGCAGCCTCAACACCTCCAACACCTCCACACTTCATCTGCATCAAACACAGCCAGCGCTGAAACGACCCAATAATCGATCATCAATAATCCTCAGTGATCGAGTAACAGCTGCTCACGTCACCCCGAATGTTTGTCACGCGAGAATGAGGCACATTGAAGTTCGGCTGTGGTGGAATCACCTGAGTTACAGGTGCGTGTCCAGCGCTCGGTTAATAATTTTATTGATCAGCAGTTTGACTTTAAATGAAGTTAAAGAAACGTTACCTGCGTGCAGCTCTCAAGGTTCACTTCAGTCTGGAAACTCCAAACTGGATTCAGCAACAAGACCAAGATCACAACCCCGAGGTCACGTCCTGCTCCCGATTTTCAAAATAAAGGTAAGAACCCTGCACCTCTGATGTGAAGCGAACAGGAGAGAAATCAGTGTGAAAAACATTCAAACGAGAAGAGAAAAAAACAACAAAAAAGGAGGACAATAAAACAATAACAGTCGCAAAAAATATTCAGGAAAATTAAAAAACAGCATTTCAAATGTTTTTTTAATTTATATATCAAAAATTCATATTATCTTAATTTTTATTTATTTCCTCTGAACTCATCGACTGTAATACATTCAGTTCAGAGATATCACTATTTCATTTGAATTTTTAGATTTTATGTTTATTTAAAATTCTCCAGATAATTTTATACAAATTATTCAAATAATTAATTTAAGGAAAAAGCGAAAAGATACAAACAGAAAAATTAGAAATATAAACAAAAAAAGAAGCTTTTAAGCTTTGTATAAAAAAAATTAAACTAAATTATATTTAACTATTTCACTATCCTTTCAAAATGTGCGGTAAAATGATGCTTTTGTTTTGATAATCAGGAAGTCATGTCCCGCCCACCGCAACAAACTTGACTTAGGTCAGCTCGGTTGTCATGGTGACCGCAGGCAGGCAGTCAGATTGGAAAGCCCCAGAGCTGAAGGGGAATTCCGGCACCACGTGGCAAACTCTACCTACTGATTGGTGGATGGTAAAGGGGAGCCACGCCCACCCAGGCAGAAAAACAAGAAAAAGAAAACAAAAAGAAAACTTGTTTTTTAAAAAACGGATCAAGTTAAAAACTTTACAAAAATAGTAAAAACAAATGAATGATCATAAAGAGAAAAATACAAAAACACGAAAAATATTACATATATTGTTTTACTGCTCCTATACAGCTGTGTGTGTGTGTGTGTGTGTGTGTGTGCGTGATTGCACTCAGGTGTTATTACGTTCACAGCACTGTGGCATGAGCTGAGCCGGCCTGTGCAGGTCACAGTCGGGGAAGTACCCTCTTGTGTATCTATGAAATCACTGATTCGTCAGATGAGTCGTGAGCGTCATCGCTCATCAGCTCAGGCTGAAAACGGTGCGGAGGGAGGTGCACGCTGTTCCCCGCTCTCCACCTGGATCCACCAAACATGAATGCAGGTAAACGTCTCAGGTGTTTCTGCACCTGCAGCGAGTGCTGACGTCATGCTCAGCCGATGAACCAATCAGATTCTGTCTTCAGCTCGTTCATCATACCCGTGTCCATCCTTCAGATAGTTTTTGCTGTACTTCAGCAGGTAAACTTTATTTAGACAACACTGTCAGGACCATGAACAGCAGCCAGTGATGCAACACTGCCACCTTCAGGTCAAGCTGTGAGACGCCACCTGCACGTCCACAGATGTCAGTCACAGCAGGGAGCAGAGGTCGTGCTGCGACAGCGCCCCCTGCTGGCTCCCCTGCAGCACTCCTTCGCACAGCTTACATTTTACGACCCAACGTCCTCATTTATTGACTTTTGGTGGTCAGAGTGACTCATTCTTCCTCTTCTGCATCATAAAGTTGATTTGATTTTTATTGTTTGTGTTTATCAGCATGTAAACAAACGTCTGTAACGAGCCAACATGTGCACACGAGCTCACTGCAGTGTGTGACGACCAGCTCTACACATCAAACACTTTGATAACATTGTTTTCATATTAACCTGCAGGTTTGCCTTACAGCACAGGGTCCATCCAGCTTTTCAAAATGATTTGGCAACATGCAAAAAAACTGGAAACAAAACAAACTTTAGAGATTTTATTTTGACACTAATACAAATGAAACTTTTTTTTTTGCATTTTTTAAATGATCATTTTCCAACTCGACCTACGGCCAGATCGGACCCTGCACCTCTTTTGTTCTTAAATATAAATTGTATTTGCACTGAAACAAAACGCTGTTAGCTGGAGACTGAACAATAAAGCTTGATTTAAAAAAAACGAAACACATTCAGGCGTCACTTTGTTTGGATTTTATTTCTCTTTAACATAAAAACTCAGAGTCCACAGAAGGAACAAGTGTTTGACCCCGAGAGGCGAGGCTGCCAGGGGGCGCTGTGACGGCGAGGTCGCAGGGAACTGTCTGTGTTTGCATAGTTTGTAGTTTTCTTACAGCAGGTTTCTGATTTTTCAAACATTTCAAAGAAGAAGAAACAACTTTTGGTTGTGGTCATTATCAGAAAATAAAAACTAAAGCTGGAATGAAACAGACGTCCTGACTGAACGGCACTTTATCGGTGCAGCAGATTTCCTCTCATTTAACAAAAACAAACTTTTGTGAAACTTCAAATTTTTGAATAAATTTTGGGTTTTTTTTAAAGTGAAACAAACTTTCTGCAGCTAAAGATGAAATCTTCTAAATTAATCTACAGATTTCAAACAGTGAAAAATAAATATGGGCTCTTTGGTCGAGTTTTTCCTGACCTGAATGTTTTGGGTCTGGAGCTCCGGCGGCTGGACTGATGATAAGATGATGAAGTTTTCTCTGCTGTAAACGTCTGCATTCAATTGGATGTTTTTTAAAATTTCAGCGATGGCTGTAAACGAGTTATTGCTCTTAATAAAGTGACTGTAGGCAGAAGAACATTAAAGCGACAGTCCTGAGGCACATGCGCACGGCGTCACAGTAGAAGAAGAAAAGCACGACACGGTCAGAAGTATGTGGACACCCACAACGAACTGATCTGGGATCAGTGTTTGCAGCAGCAGACGTTCCCTCCACGATACGAACCGGGCCCGTTAACGGAGCCTGAGGGAGGCGACCTACAGACCACAGAGTTCAGCCTCGTTTCAAGTTTTTAACCTTTCGAAAGATAGAAAAAGATTCATTTAATCCTGAAGTTATAATCTCACAGGTCTGATCTGTGTGTGATCTCTGTGACAGCACTGATCCAGCGTTCCCACAGAGCGCCGGCACTTTCCCCACAGTTACAGAAATGAGAAAAAGGAAATCATCTCAAGTGTGCCAACAGAAATGTCCCGCTGCACGTCTTCAGGTTTATTCAGTGATTGCACCTTTTTCTAATCATGCGTGTTAAACCGACACTTCAGCTCAGTTTGTTCATGATTCAACCCGAAAATATTAATAAAACAATAAAAATGAAAAAACAAATATTGTTTTTTCCTGAAGCTCGTTTTATGACTCGTCTACTCGAGGCTTTCGGGACCGCGACACTCCAGAGCAAGGAATCGTTTCATCTGAAAGGCTCCGCCCACATCATCTGTGGGGTGTCCACATACTTTTGGTCAGTGAGCTCAGATAATTTGTCATTTCTGTGCAGCAAGCAGCGATTCAGGTGAGCGACCGTGGCGTTAAAGCTGCCGACCGCAAGTTTCTTTGGTTTTTTAAAGTTTAAATTCAAAGAAGGACACAGACACGAGGAGGAGGAGGAGGAGGAGGAGCGACTGCACCAAGACGAAGAATCCCAGAGAAATTCAAACACACGTGGAAACTAAACTCAGGTAGGACAGACAGACGGACGGACGGACAGGTGGATGGAGGCGGGTCTATGTGATGATGAGGCCGGCCTCGCTGTAAACCTTGAACACCTTCTCGATGGCGTTGACGTACGCCGCCGTCCGCAGGTCCAAACCCAGGTCGTACTTGTTGGCTGTTCTCATGATTTGCTGCATCGGAGAAGAGACAGGAAGTGACTCAAACACGTTTGTTTCATGAAATCAAATATTACAGACTTATCAGCGAGCACGCGACGCATGATTTATCATCCATGTGTTCATCAGGGTGAGGGGTAGATTTATTCTAATAACCCCGACACTGCGTTTAAACTGTGCTGTCTCGTGTCATAAACGATCCGTCAGGAGTTCCTGGCGATGTGCTCACTTCCCTTTCCCCCCTCGGTGGGAGGAAGCGTGTAGCCGCCAACGCTGTCACGTTCAGATTTCTTCAGAAGGAAGCACGGGAGGAATATCTGTCGTTCCAAAGATTTCATTTGCTTTGACAGTGGAAATGACAAAAGTTACAGCTTCTGTTTAGCTTTTGTGTCACCGTAGAAACGAACCAACAAAATCAGGTCAGGGTCACGCCCTTCGGGGAGGTGTGGTCTCTGAGGGCGCTAACTATAATAAATAAAAATACACGTACATCTGCATTTATTCTGACGTACTCTTCATAACAGTCGGGTTATGATCCAGGTGTTTGCAGATGTGAGATGTGAAAGTTTAATGTAACCTTTGGGTCGTCTGATCACGCGCGTTAAACCTAAACTGGGATCAACGGATGAAGTCGCTCATCATCATCGTGTACATTTATCTCAGTTCCACATCGACTGTGACAATAACGATTCTCTGTCATCATCTGCGTTATCGCTTATTTTGAGTCATAAACTGGTCGCGGTGACGTTGTATGACTTTCCCTTCGTGCGGCGCTGCAGGTTTGGCGTGCTTACCCGGGCAGAGCGCTCCATGGTGTAGGCCAGACCCGAGTGAACGATGTCCTTCTCAGACGCTCCCTGAAACCACAGAGTGGAGCTTACACGCCTGAGGAAAAGGAGGAGACAGTACTCGAGTACTACGAGTATGTGTGTACTCACGGCGATCCGAGCCTGGAACTCAGAGGTGGGGACGACGGGGACGGAGCCGCCGTGTTTGCCGAACTTCCTCTCCAGACTCTCCTGGACCGACACTGCAGGGAGACGAGAGCGTTACTGACAACAAAGATCAGAGCGTTGGTGGGAGGCTTTGAGTGGATGCTCAGACTCACTCAGCAGGTGATAGTTGGAGTCTCGCTCGTATTTGAAGGTGAGTCGCCCGTAACTGACGTGGTTCAGGTTCTTCAACCACTCGAAGTAGGAAACCGTCACACCGCCAGCGTTCAGGTACATGTCCTGACCCACGAGAGGAGAAGAGAGAGGGGATAACACAGACGTCTCGTTTACTTCAGTCTGAGACTAATTAACCTTTGACAAAGGTCACGAGCGTTTGCGTCCACTGACCGGGATCACCAGGATGTTTCTCTCCAGGAAGATCTGGTCAGCTTCAGGTGTAGTCGGCCCGTTGGCTCCCTCTGCGATGATCTGAAGGTACCACAGACTCCAGGTCAGTTTACTGATGGAAACCCACAAACGGTTTCCCAGGACGGACATTTTTAGCGCTATTTATTTAGATTACTTGAATTTATCTGAAATGTTTACGGCTTCCAGCCTCTGGACCGGCACTGTTCCTCATGTGTGCATGAGACACAGCGGTATACAGGGGTGCATGTGGAGTTCCTCCATCATTGGCCCACTGGATTTTAATATAACGTTCATCTCCAGCTTTAAGGATGTTTCCCAGCAGCTGTTTCCAAACAGTCAGAAAATCCAACAACGACTATTTTTAAATCAAAAGTCTTGTTTCCTCAACTTCTGTTTGTTTCTCTTTATAATTTTCTGCTTTTTGTACTTTTTAAAGGTTTTTATTTACTTTTATTTGTAGGTTTTATTTATGTAAAGCACTTTTTTCTCTTCACATCTGAGAACATTCACTCCTTTAAATTCATACATACGCAGTATATTTATAATCTACTAAACCTTGTTTTCTGTATAAGTTTGTGGGTTTCTTCCTTCTATGAATTCTGCTTCTTGCATGAAGGATTTTGTTTTCCTGCCAGTGCCGTTATTCCCGAGAGTCGGAATAATTTGTGACTAAAGACTGAATTAAATATTGCGTGCATGAGTTATCGTCGCACGTATACGTGATGAGCTGATCTGGTAACCGTGGCACCTTGGCCTTGATCTTGTGGGCGTTGCTTTTGGTCAGCTGTTTCTCGCTGGCGGCGGGGATCAGGATGTCGCAGTCGGCCTCGAGGATGCTTCCTTCGTATGGCGTCGAGTCCGGGAAACCCACGATGGTCCCGTTGGCCTGGAAACGACAAACCGTTCAAACTGATGAAAACAGCAGCTGCTTCACACGAATCATAAAACAAACCAGCTGGACTGTTAGTACACTGCAGTGACACAGTACTGCCAGCAGGTGGCACACTGCTCCTGTTTCTGTGTACCCACCAGTTTGTAGTCCTCCAGCTCTTTGGGGTTGATGCCTTCGGGGTTCCAGATGCTTCCGTCCAATTCTCCGACTCCGACGCACCTCGCTCCAAAGCGGTGAAGGTAGCGCATGCTGTGAAGCCCCACGTTACCGAAGCCCTGCAGGCAGAGCAGAGGGCGCATTAACCCATGTGTCTGCTTCACTGTCAGAAATCACACAGCGTTCTCCTGAATAGGAAACTGCACACTTTTATGTAGAGTTATTAGAAGCCGGGTCAGCCATTTGGTGGACAGACACAGCACTGGTTTTAGACTGGGCACCAGCACTGTATGGGTAGAAAAAATAAGTAACTCAGATTCTGTGACAGTCTAAAGTGGCTGCATTACTGTGGCGAGGATCCAGACACTCATCCATCTCTATCCAAGTCATTCAGGCCCTTTGAGGGAAAATGTTCCAGTGTGTTCAACCAAAGTCAGTGCCAGAAGATAAAAACAGGAAACGCGCTCACAAAACTTCAGGGAAAAGCTGATAGCTTCAGTTTGCCCTCTGACCTCACTTGGTCCTGAGGCGGTGACGTAGAGGAGCACCACCTTCAGGGGTAAACGTGGAGGTGCGTCTGTAATCTCGACTGAAGTCCTCGGCGGTTGTTCTGTGACTTTAGTGGTTGAGTTTTCGCAGCAGCAGATGTTGTGGGCACGACGTCGCTGTATCTGCTCAGGTCAGCGTCGTCTCCTCGTGGTCCTTCTGCGTCTTAGTCGCTGGATGATTTGCCTTTTGAAAAAACCTAAACATCATCAGCACAGAGGACGGGCGGAGCCTCCTCCCTGCTCTCCAGCAACACTTGTGCTGAACGTCATGAAGTCATCCTAAGGTCTCTTTGTTGCGGTCGCCTGTTGATTAAATGAAAACATGCGGCTGGACATGAGTCAGCTGAGGGGGGAAGGATGGAAGAAGTGACGAGGAGGAAGAAAAGTTTTTCTCATTTGTTCTTCATAAATGGATCCAGACCGAGCCGTCTGCTCACACTGTAAATAAAAGATGGACACGGACAGCTGGAGATCCTGTTACTCCTCCTCGATGTCCCCGTCTGAGGTGCAGTTGCTGCAGAGTGATGTAAATTATCCACAGCCGAGTCAGTGTGGTCAGAGCAGGCAGCTACATGCACATCTGCACGTTGCCTCATGTTCGCCGTCTGATGATGAGAGTTACATCACTCGGACCCGAACGGATGAGGAAACGTCACTTAGGCTTAATCTGCTCATCATTTATAACATGAGCAACGCTTCTTCACATCGGCCCACTCCTGCAGACGTCCCTCAGCTCTTCTGTGAGAACTTTACAAGGAGGTTTCGGGCTCGTGGTCATCGTGCTGCGTTCACTGTTCATCCTGCTTTTAAACGAAGTGTGAGAAACTCGTCAGAACGCTGCAGACGTTCTGTTGTGGCGGAGCATACCTGGATGACGAAGGTCTTGTCCTGGAACCCGGGGTACATCCCGAGCTGGCTCATGTATGACGCCTCGTTGATGAAGTTCTCGATGCCGTGGAAGACTCCCCGGCCGGTGGCGGAGATGCGGCCGTGAATTCCTCCCTGACTGATGGGCTTCCCGGTGACGCAGGCGTGGGCGTTGATGTCCTGAACATGGACGACACGCCGAGGTCAAAAACAAAAACAACAGCCTAATTCCAAAATAACACATGACTATACCGCTCTACCACGATAGCGCTTGTTGATTGTGTCATCAAGCTGCGCCTGTTTCTGCTTGAAAGCATGGCAGCGGCTGCAGCAATAACATCTGCAAATTATGGCGGCGACAGTAAAAGCAAAGAGACGAAGCACTTTTGAAATATGGGGAAAGCCAAAAACTGCGCTTCCTTCACCTCCCTATCATTGATTCACTAATGCTGTATTCTCTGGCAGCTGCTGTATTCCCATGCAGCAGTATATGAATGACTAACCTCGTACTGTGGATGAATAATCTCAGTTGTTCTCCTGACTGAAGTTTGGTCCGTGTATAGCATCCTGCCATGCGATTACATTTGTCTCTAACCATCAGGAACCCTCACGTTAACTTTTATCGAGTGGAAAAAAAGTTAGCTTCATCCTCCAGCTTCTCTGTGTTTATGCTAACATAGCTGTGTCGCTAGCAATCACGTAGCACATCATTATATAGCAGCTAGCACAACTTCAGTAACCCTGCAAACGTCACTGCTGTTTAGTTTCCTGTCTTCATTTATGCTGGAAGTGATAGCAGAGCTGTACGTTTGAATTTTTCAGAAATCTCACAGTCAGAACATGCTATGTCATGTTTAGCTAACTAGCGAGCTAACGTCCTGCTAACTTCTAACTCCGTTAAATGTAATAACTTCTGTTTTCATGGATGCCTGGATGCTAAACTTCATTGTTACACCTGGTAAAGCAGCAACGCTGATCGTTTTATTAAAGATGAAAGAATTTAGACAGTTTTTAACTCTCAGTGTTCGTTTGACTTTGGGACCTGAATCTGATGGAGTTTAGGACCCAGATCACTCCGCGAGGCGGCAGCCGTAATGCTCCAACAACCCATCAGGTGGTGCGGCTTCGTAGCTTAGCAAAGTCATACTAAAACATTTTTGACAGATTGCTGAGCGCCGTGTAGCACAGAAAATCTGTTCGAGGTCAGTAAGCACAACCAGAATTCATACATAAGGCACACTGCCGATTTTTGAGAAAATTAAAGGATTTTAAGTCCTTATAGTGTGGGAAATACGTTATAAAGAAGAACAAACTATATCGTGATACATATCGTTACCGCACATGATTCAAATTATACCGCGATATGGATTTTAGGCCATATCGCCCAGCCCTAACGTGTAATCATACGCATTTGGACGTCACGTCTTTTTTGCTGGGTCAGTACTCACATTGTGTCCCATGACGGTGGCGAAGGTGTCGGCGATCCAGGACATCTCGCGCTCCCCGGTGCTCATATCCGGAGCAGGAACGTCGATGCCGGGCCCTGCAAGAGCGCATCGGTTCAGGGAGGACGCGAAGTGAAAATTAGCCCACGTCAGCTGACTCTGTCTGAACTTCCTGTCAGTAAGCTTTAAGCCACTTGCAAGCCACTCTGCAGCCCACCTCCTGCTCTAACTGCTGCTCTGAGAGCCGCACCACCTTCAGTGGAGCTGACAGGTGTGACATCGCTGTGTGACATCACTCACCGATGAAGCCCTTCTTGGCGAGCTCGATGGTAAACCTTCGGGTTATCTTCTCCAGCTCGTTGTCCTGAAAACACAATTTTAAAAAAATACACATACTTTTATTTTGATGCATTTCACCTTTCAGCGGTGCTGGCTGGAGTACACACCCCAGTCTGACCCCAGTTAAACACAGCAGGCACTTTGATAGGACAGCACGAGTGCACGCCCACATTTGTCTGGTCTGTGTCTGACGAGGGAAACCAAAGAGCAGCAACTGGGAACATGAAGGAAAGTCCCCACTTCCACACGCTACGTGTTGCAGTGTGATCAAAGGGAAATGCTTGGCGTGATTCTTGTGATCCTCCACTTTATTTTTCCATTGCGGCATTTTGTAGGCGGTCCCTGAGCGCTGTGGTCACGACGGGTTTGAGTGAAAATGAGCTCTCTGCGTTAATGACCCGAGGAAGCTTCTGCTGATGTTCTGATATGGTTCCTCACGGGTTTGTCATAATTGGTCGTCACCGCGAGTGGCAGTTTTAAACCAGCTGCAGGATCCGTGTCTCCGGGGGGGTTGAACCAGCAACCTTCAGGCGAACAACAGCATAAACCACTACATTAAGAGGCCCTCAGGCATCTCTGGAGTTTATTTCTTATGTAACCATGAAAGTGAAGCGATGCAAACATCCGTATGTTACAGTAAATATGGCGTCCTGTAACTGCGCTTTAATTTTTGTTTAAACGATCATTCTGTCTTTACACAAAGGAGGAAACACGATAATCAAGCAAAACGAACTCGTGTGATTTTTCTTGTGGTATAAATCAAACGCAATCAAAGTCTGACCTAGCGCTCGGCAGGACAAGAACAGCTCTACTTTTAACATTTCATCATGTCTGTCCGTCCATTTCCTGTATTTCTCTCATATCAAGAGGTCAGAGGTCAGCAGTCCTCCCAGTTATGCTCGTGTCAGCTGATCGATGTTTTCCAGCAGAGAAAGCAGCAAAGAGCAAAGGTCGAGCAAACATTTAGAGAGGGAGGGGGTGGCAGAGGGCCCTGACATCAATGTGGGGAGAAAGTCACGAGTCATCACGTTTCAGAGTGAATCCCGGCGTCTCTCTGCCAGCTGATGGCTCAGCGTTTCCGCTCAGGTCGGAACGTTTACTGTAAAACAGCAGACAGCTGCTCCGGGTTCTCCATCTACAGCCGTGGAACCATTACAAACAACAAGCTGATGAGCGGGGCCGACTGCAGCATCGTGGGAAGAACACTTGCACACTCGCGCTTCGTTCACTTACCACAAGACATTAGGTTTCCATGGCAACACAATCGCCCCAATAATCCTATTTCCAGTTTAGTTCGAGGCCGAGCGCTGATCAAGAAATAAAACCACAAGGATCACCGAGGAGGGCCGGCCGGCGTGGAAGCGTCGCACTTACCGAGTACTTCTTCGGGTTGATCTTCACGCCGGCTTTGGCTCCACCAAAAGGCACATCTGGAAACAAAGTCACTTTAGTTCACAAGGCAACAAGCAGCAGATTCACTCAAACACAGCAGAGGGCGACGGGGTGCTGGGTTCAGTGTGTCCTCACCTACGACGGCACATTTGTAGGTCATCAGCGAGGCCAGAGCTTTCACCTCGTCCACAGACACCTCTGTGCTGTAACGGATACCTGCAACAGACACACGCCGTTATTTCACGAGACTTTCAATGGTTAAAGTTCACCATCTGTGCCAGCCCACCTGCACTACCTGCTTTGCCCACCAGGAGGCCTCTGCCCACATTTGGGTAACGTTCCGTCCATAATGGAAGTGTGTTTGAGCTTTAAGGTGGACGTGCAGCTATGTGAACATTTATAAAGGTGGCCTGAGCCGCTGAGGCGAGCGCTCAAAGTGGAGGGAGGTCAGCGTGGAAGCGGGCCAGCAGCTCTCACGCATCACTGCAAACACAGGCTGCAGGGACAAAATGGCTGCGCTCGGAGGCGAGTGGGAAGGAAAACAAAAACACATGGAGGCAGGTTGAAATGTGAAAGCAGCGGCGGGAGGAAGTGACAACATGATGGATGAGGAGACAAAAGCAGAGAAGGAAGACGGAGAAATGCAGAAGTGAGAAGGACGCGTGGAGGAGGAAGCAGAGAAACTCGGTGTGACTCAGAGCGGGTGTGGCCACCTCGCCTCAGACACACGCTGCTTTATAGGAAAACCACCACACCCTCCACCTGCTCCACCACGTCTCTTTATTCGCACACAACACTGGATGTGATGAGTAAAAGCTGTAAGCTGGACTCGCTGAAGGACCTGCAGACACACAGCTGACGACACAGCAGCAGACAAGAGTCACGGGAAAGACCGCTGTGACCAAACCACCAGCACACCACAACTCCCAGTCTACTGAGTAAAACACGTCTGTGGCTCGTACAGCGCCTCTTCTTACCGTCAGCAAAGCTCTTTGGGACAAACAAATGCCAATAAATAGAAATAAAACCAACCCTCTGTCATCCCAGCAATCAACTCCAACTGCAGACTGTATATCAAAGATGGACAATGCCATCATAAAGGCCACCGTGGAGTGGAGTCACCAGCGAATGACGGGTGAACAGGAATAAAAAGCCTTTTGTGGCCTCTTAATGGAGCCCTGTATTCCCCCTCAATCACTGATGAGCAGGAGTCAATTACATATAAGATTAATAACCCAAAGCTCATATACAATGGGGGCGATCGTGGCTCAAGAGTTGGGAGTTCGTCTTGTAATCGTAAGGTTGCCGGGTCGAGCCCCGGCTCAGACGGCCTCGCTCGTTGTGTCCTTGGGCAAGACACTTCACCTACCGCCTACTGGTGATGGCCAGAGGGGCCGATGGCGCGGTATGGCAGCCTCGCCTCTGTCAGTCTGCCCCAGGGCAGCTGTGGCTACACCTGTAGCTGCCTCCACCAGTGTGTGAATGTGAGAGTGACTGAATAGTGGAATTGTAAAGCACTTTGAGGGCCTCGAAAAGCGCTTTATAAATGCAATCCATCATTATTATTATTACAAATATCATTAATGCAATAATACTAATGACATCAGGTTAAACAGTCTGTGAGGAGCGTTTGCAGCATCTTGTTGAATCCAGAAGACTTGAATATTAGCAAGATGTGATAATAAAGTGTCCGGAGACTGTATGTTCATCACGTCCATCATGTGAGTGAATTTGAAACATTATAAGTTTAACTGATTAAATTATGTGCCGAAGACGTGAATAAATCCTGAGTAATTAATCTGACCGGCTCTGTGATTTCAGAGCGAAGCAGCATCATGTGATCGTTCAGGTTCCTGCGAGTCTTCGGGGAGCTGCGGGAACGCTGAGGACAGTGAAAGGTGGAGGGGTCCATGACGACAGCTGAGGCGGGTGTGAAAAAGCTCTGAGCTGATTGGACAGCTCAGGTCTCTGTTTGTTTGGTGGTTCAGGTCACATGAACGCATTAAACAGGCTCTCTGTGTTCTCATAAACCGTCTAACTACAATCTACCTGAGGGGAACATTTCCTAATAATCACTTCCCTCCTTTCTATGAACTTCTGTCCAAGCTCCGCCCCCTGGAGGCCGCTGACGGCTTGCGGTCGTTTACTCGGCTGGATTTTTTCCAGGAAACCTTCACTGGGCGGCTCGAGGCTCAAACTGGCACCAATTTGTCAGCAGAAACATGAGCCGAGTAAATCTGTAATAGCAGGAAAAGCTCAGGTCTGTGTGTGACCGGAGCCAGCAGGCACGGCCTCACAGTGGAAACCCCAGTAAAACCAGCGTTTCCACTGTGAGGCTGGGGTGTGAGCTCAGAGCAGGACAGTTTCTGTCCAGCACACAGGAGGAAACTGGCCACCAGAGACAGTGTGTGGGTGGATTAAGGTGCAGCTCAGGCAATAACCTGACACCCCGTCAGCGTCATGAGCTGACATGTTAAAGAGTGAGTGCGGCTCAGGCTGAGGTGTGTCACAGCAAGTCTGCATTCAAAGTCACTCAAAGCAGCTTCGAATCCTCTGCTGCGCCATCGTATCTGCTCAAGTCTCCAAACGTGGTCTTTCGTGCTCGGAATAAACCGAGCATTTCGTTCACGACACCTCCACCTGTCGGACCACTGTGACCCCCGTCTCCACATGTACTGCAGAGTCTGAACCTCGGACCAAACAGAGTGATGGCACAGAGCTCAGAACAAAAACACGGCGCCCTGAGCTCGAACCGGACTGACAACATTCCTGCCTGAGGCGGAAACGTCAGCACCAGGAGACAACGCTCCTTTCAGCATGTACATACACGTCACACACACAGATCCTGTCCAGCAGCTTTTGCAGTCAGAGCTGTGATCTGCAGCAGGCAGTGGACCCGCTACAGGCCAGAACAGAACAGGGCCACATCCCACAGGGGTCATGGCTCAGCAAGCCCCAGACATGCACACACATGCAGCATTCACGCCTCACGCTCGCCCACCCCAGCTCTTTTACTACAGCTCTTTTACAGTGCAATATTTGCATTATTGTTCATTGCTGTTTGCTTGACATAGTTATTGGTTTAACCGAGCTATCTTTGAACGTTCACACAGGAAATCCCTGCTTTGGGGATGCATGCACATTAATTAGTGAGAGGAGAGTAAAATCCTAAAGTGGCTGTCTCACTGGACGAAAGCTTCCTCGGGCTGGTGTGAATAACATTTCCTGCACATCTGATTTTAGTTTCTTTGCGCATGCACAATGTGGTTTTAGCTGGTTAAAAGACGGGAGTCTAGTTTTAAATCACAGTAAAAGCACAAAAATCGAGTCTGTCTGAATCAGGCTGCTTTCAAACCCTTTACATTCATTTTTCATGTGGGTTCAAATCGTGTCACGCCGGCTCTGCGCGAACGTCGCTTCACGTTGTTGAGTGAAACTTTTTTCAGCGGTGCTAACAGCGGGCGCGGGAGACTCACCTCCCTTGCAGGGCGTCCGGTGCTGGCTGTGCTGAGCCCGGTAGCCCTCGATCACCTCCCACTCCCCGCTGTCTCTCTTGATGGGGAAGCTGACGCTCAGGACGTGGTTGCACGGCTTGATGATCCGCAGGATCCCGCGAACCCGGCTCCTCTTCTGCTCGGCAGTCTCTCGAGTCTTCAGGTCTTCCACCAGCTTGTCCTCCACGATAGCGGCGCCCTTATCGAAGAAGCCCTCTACCATAGTGAAGAAGTTCGGGTCGTCGGCCGGATCTACGGCCTGGCTGTAGCCGCGGTGCCGCAGCAGGGACGCGGACGCCGGCAGAACAGAGTCAGCAGCGGCGGCGGGGTACCCCGAGACCAGGACGCCGCCCGCTCCCCGGGTGAGTAGCTCTCCGAAGTACCGGTACATTTTCACGGTTTGTAGAAGTTCGCTGTCCCAGGGAGGTGAGACGAGACCGCGGGGAAGACGAGGAAATGGAGCCGCGTAAACACAGAGCTGTACCGCAGCAGCGGCTCCTCCTTCCCGCCGCCCCTTCCTGTCAAGCTACACCGCCGCGTGCGGCGCCGGGCAAGACGTGCGGCTCAATTTCATACACAAAAACCCGCACGAGACTGTAACGGCAGCACCGGGAAGGAGGCACGTAGCTTAGCTTATCGTTAGCTTTTGGCAACACCCGGAAAAGTCGTTAAAACTGAACAACTTATTAAATAAAGTGCAGAGAAGCACACGGAGAGGACCAAATACCGCTCTAAAACGGAAGCATCCACCCAAAAATGGACATTTTGATGGTATTTAACACGTTTAGAGTTAATGTGTGGCGGTTTAAGCTAGCATCGCCACAGTTTTGCATATCCGGTCGTCTGGACTCAACTTTGCAAATAAAAGCCCAACGTTCACTGCAGATTTTCAGCCATTTTCTCCTGATACAGTGGTCCCTCGTTTATCGCGGGTGTTACGTTCCAAAAATAACCCGCGAAGTAGCCAACTTTATTTTTTTAAATTATTATAGGTGTTTTAAGGCTGTAAAACCCCTCACTACAAGCTTTGTACACTTTTCTCAGATACACATGAACTTTTTCACACTTTGTCCTCTTGTTTAAACACTCAAACTTCAAAACTTCATAGAAAAAAAGTCCAGTATTATAGAGTGAAACCAAAGGCACCCGCGGTTGCCTTTGAGGGTGCAAAACGACATTGTTTGTGTTTGTTGGGGAGAAAACTTAAAAACACACAGTCCAGCACTTCAGAGTTACACTGTAGGATCGAAGAGTTCTATACATTTGACAAGCTGAACGCATTGTGTACGGTACAGGAGACAGGGATTGATTGACAGTGGTCTACAGTCGATCAGGACGCAGAACACAATGCGCTGTAAAAAACAAACAAACAAAAAACCCAGCATGCAAAATTGCACAAAAAACGTATGTGAAAGTGCAGAAGTGCGAGCAGTACATTCAGTCCAGCGCTCCCCAACATAGGGGTCAGGCTCCTGCTAAAGGTCGCCAGCTAAATCTGTTGGGTCGTCACACTTTTTCTGTTCAGATTTTCTGACCTTTCTGCAGCTCACAGACACTTCTTTGAAAACAAGTCCAGAGTAGAAATGTCTGCGTTTTACTCTAACTTCAGTTTGAGCATCGATTTAAAAAACATCGAAGAGAAATTAAAGCAAAATCCACAGAACCAAAACGGTGAAAAGTGAAAGTGATGGATGTTTGCATGTGGCCAACAGGTCACTCACGAACTTTTTGTTCACGAGCTCAGGTTTGACCGTGTCTACACGCTCACTTGCGCAATTGTGCGCTCTGCTGAGAAGGTGATTGGCTGCAGACTCCCATCTCTGCAGGACCTGTACACCTCCAGGACACTGCGGCGTGCAGCTCGGATCTCAGCTGACCCTTCTCACCCTGGACACAGTCTGTTTGACCTGCTCCCCTCAGGCAGGAGGCTCCGGTCCATTCGCACCAGAACCTCTCGCCATAAGAACAGTTTCTTCCCCTCTGCTGTTGGACACATGAACAATAACCATATGACTGTCCCCACCACTAACACATGACCCTACGCTGTGTCAGTGCATCATTTCATGTTTGCACTGATCACCACCTGCACTCATGTATATATCATGTATATATCTATTTATCTACTTAGCACTTTTAATTCTTATTCTTATTTTTATTTTCATGTCTATTTAAGCGTAATTTATAACAGTATTTATAACAGTATGTTTGCACTGAAGCACCGCAGCAATTTCCTAATGTTGTAAACCCGCTCAACATTTGGCAATAAAACCCTTTCTGATTCTGATTCTGACTTTACACTGTTCTTACTTCTTTAGTGATGCGCTGATGTCAGCATGTCACAGACTTATTCATAAGCTGGCCAATCAGGAAACAGTGGGGTGTAGGGAGGCGGACCTGAAGTAGACGGGCGCTAACACATTTAGAAAGGGCTGAATATCACAAAGACTGTACATAAAAGACGGACTCCTATTTTTAAAGCATTTTACACTCCATTTGTGTCCTGTTGTTGATGTTTTTATTTGTTCTTTTGCTACCATGATATTGTCCATAGCAACACTAACTTCATAGCTGATGTTGTGCTCAGGGGAAGTTTTTTTTTTTTTTAAATAAACTTTATTTAACAAACAATGAGTATATACAACATACGAATGGATGAAGTATACAAAACAACAGAACATGAACACACAAAGCCAGGGGTAAAAGAAAAAAGTAACAATTATAAGAATACATGCAAAAATTCACATACATATCACCATGAAACCCAAGACTGTGTAAACACAACATTTACACGATAAGTAAATATTGTCAGTGCAGATTCCTCAGTTTACAAAAACATTGTCTGAAGATGATTTTACAGTGTTAGGGACAAACCCCAGCACTCAGATGCTATCAGCCAATCAGATACTGGCTCATCATATATTTGTTCCCTCATTTTTCTACTGCTGGTTAGGATGTAATGTATGGCGTTATTTTAGTGCCTCTATTCTGAGCACACACTTCTGAGCACTTGTGCAAACATGTGATGTCTTGATACATCGAGCAGATATTTGAAGTTTGCACAGCACCATTCTCACCTGAAAATATCTTAAAAGTTTGGGTCTCGCAACTGTCTCGTTTGGGTTTTGGACGAATTGCATTCTGGGATATTTGCCTGGGTTTGGCTACAGTAGCTAGCGAGCTGATTGGAGACCAAAACAGCCAATCAGAATTTTTGCATCCAAGTCTGTGTGTCTCGTGTGAGAATGCGAAATGCAACGAACACGATGATGCTTAGACTATGTTGCCCCCTGCTGGACATCAGAGAGAATGCAGGTTTAAACCACTCAGAAGGTCAGAGAAGGAGCACGCTCAGCTTTGCTTTGACTCGCTGAAAGAGCAGGCTTACAGTACCTGAGTGACCTGGAGGGAGGACGGGGAGAACCTCTATGGAGAGATCGAGGTCCGGAGCGAGAAATGGTGGAAGCTTCAGTCAAAGGTGGACATGGAAGACGCTTTGATGGAAATGCTGTTTGAAGAGTTTGCTCCATGACTCATCCATGATTTCTAAAGAAAACGCTGCAGCTGGAGGTCAGACAGAGGAGCGTTAAGAATGACGTCCCAACGTTTTAAAGGTTAGAAGTGGAACCTCACAGGACAAAGTGTCTCAGGCGCTTTACAGTGGGCTGAGCAATGAGGTCAAACAGCTGGAGGAGTTGGACGTTCAAATCCAGGAGCAGCACAGATCTCTGAGCGCAGGAGGAAGGAGAAACATGAGCGAAAAGATGATCGACGAGATCTCCAGGAAGCTCAGTGTCCAGCTGCAGGGTGAAACCCCAGAAGAAGAAACGCTGGAGGACCAAAACGAAGTGCAGGAACATCAGTCACTGAAGGAAGAAGAGAACACCGATACCTGCTCCCAGGAAGTCTGGAAATACCGTGTGATGAAGAGGAGATTGTACGAGCTCCGAGTGATGCGATCCTACGGGAGGAGCGTGAGTCTGCAGGTAAACCAGACACAGGAAGAGACGCCAGCAGGCCGCTGCCAGGAAAATGCTGTCGGCCATGTTTGGCTTCAACTGCTAACTGAGCAAATAAAAAAGAACGTCATTAAAAATGGCTTTATTATGAAAGTGCATTTCCTGTCTGTGTTTTCTCCAGTTCCAGGCCAGAGTGAAATTCTAGGATTTGAATTGGATGTTGCTGATTGGCAGGTATCTGCAGTCTGAGCACTTCAGTGTTTTCTGTTGTGTGAATCAGAAAATGAACGTGAAGTCGTTACGGTTACTTGGTGTGGAGGAGTGGCTGAGGCGTCAGGTGCTGCAGGTGCTGAGGTGTGCTCACCTTTGACCCCGATGCTAAAACAGAAGCTGTCGGCCTGGATTCAAAGTGATTTTAGTGCTTTTGAAGGCTGCGGGTCTAAAACGTGTCTGCGCCTCTGTAAACCCTCACCGATGGGCGACCCTCCCCCGGCGTCTCGTGCTCTGATTGGTGGAGCTGCTGGAGGGCTGTTTACGGCCCTGTTATCGTTCCCAGCTGTGAAACACACCATCCGTCTTCACTTCTGCGTTTCTGCTCGGTCATTGTTGTGTAACTTGTTATTGAGTTTGGCTGAGAGACATTTCAGTTCTAACGAAGCTTCGGATTCTCTGACGTCTGAAAAGCGCAGACGTCCTGGCTTCCTGTCAGAGTCCAGACTTTCTGCAGGTCTCAGAAGATAAAAATCTTTGGTCTCACAGTCTGAGACTCACAGATGTGTCATTTAATCAGTATTTTGTTGGTAAAACTTATTTATTATTATTTACTTTTTTGTGCTGGGCTTCTGTCTGCATTAAGCTGATTTAGCTCCAGAATAAAGTGCATCATTTTACGTTTTCTTTAGATTAAGAGAATTAAACATTTTTATCATTAAATATCTTCTTTTAGCCCAAATAAATACTGACTTCATGAGAGAGGAACACTGGTGACAGCTAGTGTTCAGAATTTTAAGTATTTAAAGGACTTTTTAAGGAAAAACAGTTAATCCCATTAGTTTGCAGGAACACTGGACCAGGCGACCACAGGACTGTTGTTCATGCTGACGCACGTTTCCTTTTTTCAGCCCTGTTTTGAAGGAAATGCACCAAATTTTCTGACCATCCGAGTATAACTGAAAGCTTTTTATTTTTCACAGTCATTTTACGAGTGGAGCTCTTATTTTGAAAGGCTCTGTGCAGCAGCAGCTGATGATTAATCAGTCACTTGTGAAAAAGCATCCATGCATGGATTTAGAGTGAAGTGGTTAAACTTCCGTACGTGTCCGCCTCTCCAGCAGGGAGCATGTGTGACCAGAGAAAGATCCACGTCTTCATCGGGGCTCCTCCGCCCGCCTGCAGCCCAGCCTCAGAGCCCGGCGCCGGGTTAGAGGAAGACGATCGTGCTCCTGCTCGCTGGAGACACCTGGAGCTCACCTGGAGGGACGGGCAGCTCAGACCTGCAGGTGAGACGTTCAGGGACCAAACAGGGGGGAGGAGCACTCACTGCTGCTTTGGTCTTTTTATTAACTGAATTACTGAGCTGTAAATGTGCAGGCAGCCACAGGCCATGGCTGTCTGGAAAACGAGTCTCTGTGAGGACGTCTTTGTGTCTCTTTATGGGCTGCAGGTAACTTCAGTTTTAAAACTCACCTGTTAGATTTAGTGATCAGGATCCCTCAGGAGGCAGAGTCGTGAACGCTTCTCTGAACGTCAGACTAAGAAAAATAATCCAGGACATTTGTAAATTTTTCAGGTGATCCTGGAAATGAGACAGGAGAGGCGAGTACACACCATGATCCGACAATCACTGAAGGCGATTGGACAGAAAACAGAGTCGGACAGGAAGGAGAGACAGGAAGTCTGAAGGAGGATCTGTGGCCTGAGAAGAAGTTTCAGGAGTCAGACGCTGGACGGGACGATCAGCCATCAGCTTCGGTTCACGAGTACCTGGACCGCTGTTTCCCTGCCGCTCAACCAGATCATCAAGAACCTGAACAACCGCCAGCTGCCGCACCTCTTTCCTCCCAGACTCATTACCTCACCACCTGGACTCTGAGCCAGGCGTTAATCCTGAGACGCAGTGTCCAATCAGCATCCAGCCTAGAGAAAACCCCGCCCAAACACACCCAAACGCCTCCCTCCGTCTCGTCCAGCACCCCAGAGCTCTTCAGCCCAGCGACGCCATCACCTGCAGCCTCTGCCGAGCTCTTCAGTCACCCCTGTCTGACCCCGAGAGTGGAGGAAGGCGGTGTTGTCCTTGAGGCCACCACCGATGGGGTCCTCTGTTCTCAAGAGTCCACAACTAACACCAAGTCCCCCGCCGTGTCCCCCGCCGTGTCCCCCAGCAGCAAAAAAGCCAGAATCTCCCCACAGTCACCTGACAGAGGTGCCACCACCAGACTCCACAGTCCCACCACACTCCTGGCCCGATGTGACAGACCAGGGGTGCGGTACTCAGTTCTGGTGGCGGTGGTTCACCCCTGTCACCTGAAGGAAGTCAAGGTGAGTCCAGGTGTGTTTCCAGGTAACACCAGTTTGTACCACAGCGTGCTACAGTGGGATAACGCCTTTCTAACCATGTTTGGTTAGAAAGAAATGAAATAATAAACACCTGGATAAAGAAATAAATTCTAATCATGAGCATGAGATGTTTTACTTCCTCTGATATGAGGTGTGAGAAAGGCAAAATATTTAACCTTAGTGACCAGTTTAGGACAACCTCTGGAAAGCAGTGATGCTCTGGACTGGCCAGTAACTGGTGACAGCAGTATTTAACAAAAGTGTGGGGGCAGAAAAGGCCCTAAACAAGCCCCATCAGGGTAGGGACCAGAAACATGAAGGAGGATGTCATATAAAGAAAAGAAAGCAAGCTCGAGCCCTGCAGAGCCGGGTGGTGACTGTTGGGCTCATCAGTGACGACTGCTGAAAGACGGCCTGGTCGAGTGTCATCAGCATACAGGTGAACAGACGTGAGCTCGAGCCCTGAGCTACACCTTTACTGATAGAGGGGGGCTGAGCTTAGACTAAACTGGAGCTCTAATCACACTCTATCCATCTACTGGTGAAATATTTCAAAAGCTGAATTCACGAATGTTTGTTTAATGTCTACAGGTGAAGTCGGGGCCGTCGGCGGGCGCCTCTGTGCCTTTAGCGTCTATTGTAGTGACAGACCAATCTGGCGTTGAGATGAAGGTGGTGCTATGGCGGCGGGCTGCGTTCTGGGTGTTGACTGTCGGTCCTGGAGACGTTCTGCTCATCACAGGTACACAAACACAGCTGACTGGTTTAGTTTGAACACGATGCTCTGTGTCAGGGATGGATGAAGAAAAGACGTCAAAACAGACCTGGAGGCAGAAAGAGAAACTCTCTCAGTTACTGTTCGCAGCGTCGTATCAGGAGGCATCCATGTTTCTCTGGATCACTGAAGAAAACAGGTCTTCCTCCCACCTCGGCTTCATTTTTGAGGCTTGGCAGCTTTGTCCATCTTTAATTTACAGTCTGCAACTTTTCTTCATAAATGGGCGGGGCTGTCACCTTCAGATGGTCGCCGCCCTGCCATGAGGTGAGTTGTGTCCACGTGCGTAAGCTCTCTGTGTGTTTTGTCAGCGCTGCAGGTGAACGAGGACAGGTGGAGAGGGGAGACGGTGCTGCAGTCAACCTTCAGCAGCAAACTGCTCAACGTGGGACAGATCACTTCCTCCTCTTCACCACCAGGTAAGCCGAGCCTTCGTCCAATCACGTGCCTCCAAAGCTGACCTGCTTCAGTTACCTCTCTCTCCCTGTAGTTTCCCAGCAGGTTAATGCTCGCTCTCTCAGGTGTCTGTGCAGCTTTCTCCGAGAGCGGCGCCCCCTCTTGGTGTCTCTGCCACGTCGCTCCCCTCAAGACCTGAACCGCCTCCCCTACGCCACGCTGAGGTCACTGAGGGCAAACGCACTGGTTCACGCCCTGCTGCGAGTCACGCATACACACATCAGCCCAGGTGAGTCCTACCTTTACCTGTGCTGCTCTAATTGAAGGTCTGAGTGTTTCAGCATTTGAAATGCTGTCAGCAGTCGAGTCGAGTCAGTGATGTAGATTATTTAAGTCGGCTGAACTGTTCGCTGCACGCTTCCTTCCCTGTTTTTCAGAGTGGCGTGCTGAGGCGGAGTCTCGCAGCAGGTCGGCGGTTCAGCTGAATGCTGTCCTGACTGTGGAGCAGCCAGAGGACCAGCAGGGGGCGGTGTTACTGTGGGGAGCAGCTGTGGACTGGCTGCCTCGCTTCAGCAGAGACAAAGGTACGCTCTGGAACAAAGTCTGTACGTCAAAGATGGACACAGCTGTCGCCAGACCCCACTGTGGGGTGAAATCTCACTTTCACTCTAGTGTCTGTGGGACGGTACGAGTACTGCAGTACTTCTACTGTAGGGATGAGCCTTTGGACACTTTCACATGCAGCACAGCTGGTGAGAGGAAGTTCAAATGGATTCCTTAGAAATGGACACAAGGAGAAAGGCTGTGTTGATACAATGCTTAGGAGGATGTCTGACGTCCTGGTACCACCAAACTAAGAAACTGTCACTTTAGATTCTAGCTTTACTTTAAGAGTTTGTTGCTGTGAATCACACCGACAGTAAATCCTGCCTCCTCAGGGGCTGTTTGGGACTTCCGTGTCCTCCTGGTAAGGGAGGGTCTGACCTCTGACCTTCCAGAGCTGCACTCCACCCCCTGGAGCACCGTTCAGGCCGTGGACCCGACTGACCGCCGAGTGCAGGACTTCCACCGGACACGACGGTGCCAGAAAGGAAACGGCAGCACTCCGGAGCTGGACTTGGACACGCTGCTGTCCCAGAAGTACAGCGGTGAGTGAAACTACGAAAGCTCGCCTGAAACGTCCACGGCAGCTTTATCGCCACGTTTAAGGAGCCGCGGAGCTCCTCAGGGTTCCATTCATGGTCCTGTTCGTTTTTATTTTTACATTTTTAGAAGGTTCTCTTCTCCGCTCCATCAGGTGATGTGGAGCTCAGAGTCCAGGTCATCACGTTCTGCTTTCAGGATGCACCGGCTTCCCAGAATGCACCTCAGCCCGTCCTGGACTGCTCCACGTCACTGGAAGGCATCATGGTGGCGCTGAGCGGTGACATCACTTACACCGGCTGCGGGCGCTGCTCTGCAGAGCTCGACACAGACGCCAACGACATCTACAGGCCGTGTTACCCCTGCCTGCCCCACACCGCTGTACGCCGCTACTACAGGTACTGATGACATCATCGGATGATTAACGGTTTTCTTTCTTTTAGTTTTAAATATAAAAAATAAATAAATGAATACAAGTTTCAGAGCCTCACAGATAAAAACACCAGCATGTGTTGGTGTGTTTTTCAGACCAGGTGTGCTGACGGTGAGTGGGCGGGGCTCCATCCAGGTGTGTGTTCAGGTACCTCCAGATCCTCTGCAGAAGATCCTCAAGGCTCCGCCTGATAAACTCCATCGTAGCTCAGGTGAGACTGTCGTTCAAAGAGTGACGCTTTATTCCAAGCAGGCATGTGGCAGCACAGGCGTGACCCACAAGCTGCCGCCACAGCTGGGTCGGTGTCCAGCCACAGAGCCCGACCTCCTCATCGGTTTCTCTGGTCTGCTGCTGTCTGCAGCTCCGATGCAGAGTGATGGAACATCTCCGACTGGCCGAAGGAGCTCAGCTTGCTCAGGAATCTGCTCTGTGCTGCTTTTCCAGCTCAGCCGGAGCTCGATGTGGATGGCGAGGTTATCACACTCCTCCACCACATCCACCTCACATCCTCCAATTTCACCATCTCTCTGGTCAAAGCAGATGAAGCACAAAAACATCCACTAGTAATCAGCCCTCCTTCTCCTGCCCATCACTAGCACACCCAGAGTGTGTCTGCTGGTGTGTCTCACTGATGTCGCCTTCCTCACTGTTGACCACTTCCTCTGACAGGTGAACTGAGGCCTGTGCTAATACAGTACATGTAAATCTCACTGAGCAGTTGTCTCACCTGGCTCAGCCCTGCAAAGGTGATGATGTCAGTCCAACCGTCTGAGGGCAGGAAGAGCTGCAGTTACAGAAACTGTCCAGCAGAGGGAGTCGCTGCTTTGCAAACCTGCTGCACAGGAAACCTGCTGGAAAATAATGAATATGCAGGACAGTCAGAGGATGCTGATTCAGCTGAACATCCTGGCTTCTTAGAAGTCATTTAATCATTGTAATGACACAGTGTTGGTGAAAAATATGGATCTACTGTGTCACCTGCATTCCTGAAACAAGCGCACAGATGTAAATGTGTGAAACAGCCTGAAGTTCGCAGAACGTGTTTGCAGATCTTAATGAGTGGCTGTGCTTCCATGATTGAATCCAACACGGACACACGGACACGAGCTCGCAGTGGGTATAGAGGAGCCATGGAGGACCATGGGTGGATGCATGGGTGGATGCATGGGTGGATGCATGGATGAATCGGGGTCTGGCAAACCGATTGTTAAAGCTCTTCCTCAGAGTCTGGCGCTCAGATCGAACATTTCAAGTGGAAAGGGAACAAAATGGTGACGAGGCTCCATCCTCCATCTTTTCCATGGTGGAACCAACTTCATCGTTATAAAAGCTCAGAGAGCTTTCTTTGGTGATTACATCATCGTTAGTCATACAAATTCTATTTTTGAGGTGTGTTTGATGAAGCCAGGCTGTTAAAATAGTTTGGTAATAATAATAATACATTTTATTTCTGGCCTCCTTGAAGACCCTCAAGGTCACCTTACAATAATATATTAGCAGTAAAATAATATATAGCAACATAAAATGTAAACATAAACAGTGTTGTTGGTTTGGTTCAAAGAAAGAAAGCTGAGTGAGCATCCTTCCTGTAACTGCGCCGTCACGTGTCCACGTCCCGCGGCCGGCTGAACGCGCACACAGACTCACTGAGGCCCTAAAGGCAGCGCGAGGTAGAAAATGTCTGTAACCCAAAATGTAGTTTATGTCGCCTGTTTCCTCTTTCTGCACTTGTTGTGCAGTTTGCTCGTGTCTGTGGTAACTGCACTTTTTGGGTTACAGTACACTGAGTAGCAGAATGATCAGTCAGAGGGAGGAGTCAGAGGGAGGAGTTACACAAGGAGTCAGAGGGAGGAGTCAGAGGGAGGAGTCAGAGGGAGGAGTCAGAGGGAGGAGTCAGAGGGGAGGAGTTACACAAGGAGTTCTTGGTTTCAGATCCTTCCTGGTGTGATTCTCGGCGCCTCCGCTCATCCTGTCTGCATCTGTTTTGTTCCTCAGCTCCGGGGTCGGAGGTGAAACACATCCAGGTGGCAGCAGAGAGGATCCACACCCTCCTCTCCCTCCCGAGGAAGACCTTCATCGCCACCATCAGAAGCAACTTCCTGTGCGATGAGAACAGCATCCCCATCAGTCAGGACTTCACACTGCTGGACCTTCAGTTCCTCCCTGAACCCCGCTGACCTCACAGTGACTGCAGACCTGATGGCAGCTTTGGGATCTGTGGGTCCTGAGGACACGTGTGACATAAGTAAAGAACAGGGCGGGGCTTATCAGAGGTCATAGGTCAATAGAAACTCATTTTCAATGCTTCAGTGATGTTTTCATGTTTCACATTTATACCTACAAATGATAAGTACCCTATATTCTGGAGCACCCTCTAGCAGATCATTACATGAAGGAACCTTTTAAATGCCAGCGCGTCCATGCTCACAGGTGCACCACGGGTGCTCACACCCACAAACTGCACCCTTTTTGGCTCCTACCTCAAAGCACACTGTGTGCTGTCGATCCTACGTGCTGCACAATAATGTTTAATACTTCGTATTTACTGTTAGCAGCAGGGTTAGCTCCCTAACCCAGCTGAGGTGCAACGAGTTACATTTACTTGAGTAAGTTTTTGAAAAAAATGTACTTTTAAAGGACCCTTTTCGCACAATACTTTTTACTTTTACTTGAGTACATTTGTGAAGAAGAAGCGGTACTTTTACTCCACTACATTTGCAAAATTCGACTTGTTACTTTAAAAAAAAATTAGTCTAACACATTAGATAACATGCTGCCAGTGGAGTTTCCGGTAACTTCTTTTAGCCTCTGATCTCATACAATTGAGATTAGAGGCTACATCGCAGCTCCAGTCACGGCTTCCATCGCTGCCTTCGTCTTTTCCCAGAGTAACAGCCAAACAGTGCAAGGAGGATCTATTGGCGAGCACTGCTTGTGAAGGACGTCTCAGTCGTGCAGGACTCCTGTTCACTGCTAAACAGTCACAGCTTCACAGAAAGAACCTTGAGAGCAAACTGCTGCTGAAGCTGAACCATCACCTCACCGAGTGAAGAAAGGGCACATTTTTGCTGAATATGCAGAAATAGATGCACAACTTATGGTAAACTTGGCTGCCTTGTATGAAGATGCCTCGCTCAGTTTTCTCTGAGGCTGCTGGGCCATTTGGAGCAAAGATGAATATAAAGTTTACAGCATATCTTGTCACTGGACATTGTTTGCACTGTTTATGTATTTATATTATTTACTGCAGGTATTGGTGAAAAACAGCTTTATGTTGTGAAAAACTGAAACCTGGAAATTAGAATTGTTGTTTTTACATATATTCCTGTTGAAAATACGAAAATTTGTATATTTATTTATTTTTGTTTGTCTGATAGCATTTATCTAAAAAATAAATCGTACATTTCAAACAGTTACTCACTGCTTGAGTAGTCTTGAGGTTTGAAATGTTATTTAAATGATTGAGTTTATAATGAATCAAAGTGTATGTCAACATAAGGAAAAACATCAGAAGTAAATGGAAAAAACCACATTTTCATAAATTTTTTTCTTTATTTAATTCTGTTTGTTATGACAGTATTTATTTCAGATTGCTTTTATTGATTTTCAATGATCATATATTGAAATATCTATGTGTAAGATTTTTATTTTTCTTAAAATTAAAACTAATATATGCTTTAAAACATCCACAATGGAGTTTACGAGAAGCTTCTACGAGACAAAATACTGACAAACTGACCAAAAGAAGGAAAAGTCCCCTCCAGTAAAACATTAAAATTTATTCATAACATCTTTGCTGGTGCTATTATTATGATAAAGTTAAGCACACTGACTGGTTATCTAAAAGCAGAAAACACGGTGAATAAAACACGGTGAATAAAACACGGTGAATAATAGGCTGATAATGCATTAAAATCTTTAGTTCTGTGCAAAACTGTAGACCAGAAAAAAATGTGGGCGCTCTCGTCCTTCCGGATCTTCTCTGAGTGGTTGTGGGAGTCGGGTTTTCTTCCTTTTGCTTCAGTTCCCTTTCATTTCGTCTCCCAGCTCGAACAGATCATCCATCAGATCTGAGACAAACCAAGAAGACAGAGGATAGGTTACTAACTCTAAACAGATTATACGTGAGTCTGGGCTGCTGATACGTCAGTCGGAGGTTCACTAAAGACAACTTAAACCAGTGAGTGATGAAGGTGTAAAGTCATGACATACTTAAACCAAAAGATGCAACACGTGTGTGAATATATCTGCTTTGGATTTCTGGACTCATCCAGAATCCCAGTACCTAAAAACCCCTTTAACTTTTATCAAGGCTTCCTCTGAATGGCTGACTTCAGGAAGCCTGCTGAGGGGCAAAAACTGGTGCTTGCAGCGAGCACCCTGCCTGTAGCTGATTCTTTCTTTTGTCACTTCCTGACATGTTTTCTTTTAGCAACAACTTCCTGACTTTAAGCCTTCATGGCTTCATCTTCAGTGAGCGGACAGCTGAGCACCAACAGGAGGGTCTCTTTATCCCTACCTCTGTCTGTTGTGACTCCTTCCTGTCCTACAGGTCCAGCTGATCCTCCACTTCCTCCTGCACCTCCTCCCATCGTCGGTCCCACGTTCCCTCCTGCACCTCCTCCCATCGTCGGTCCCACGTTCCCTCCTGTAGTTCCTGCTAAATTCCCTTCGGGTACTGGTTTCTTGCCCCCACTATCATCTTTGTTGGGCACATTTGGGAGGGGCGCTCCTTTATCGTCTTTGTCCTTATTTTTGTTCTTGTTGCCTCCAAACATCGAGAAGATGCCGCCTCCTCCTTTCTTCTCACCTTTGTTCTTGTTGGCTGAATTCAGAGCTCCCTTCACTGCCCCCTCCACCAAGCTACCTGCTCGGAAAAAACAAACACTTTAGGTTCAAAAACATCTTTTCTCGATCTCCACTGCCCCCCTTCTCTGCAGCTCAGGTTTCCAACACATTTTCCTCATTTAATGTTTTGAAAGCTCTGAGGAGAAACTCAGTAACGTTCCCAAAATTCACCCAGAGGTGAGATCCAACAGCTCTGTCTCAGACTCTGCAGGCCTCAGTAAAGGTTCAATTTCATGACAGCCATACTTGTCCATCAAATGTGGGTTGTTTGGAGGGCTGCAGGAGAAAGCCATATTCTTCTCTTTAACAGAGCACGGCAGCAAAGCTGCTTCTGAACAAACAACACCAAAGTGCAGATGTTTGCCCGTCATGCACAGCAGCACGTTTGGAGGAAACAAACACCTCAGGAATGATGATCTGAGTGCACCACGAGCTCCTCTCTACACCAAAGTATTCTTGAGTCAGCGTGAGGCCGTCTGTCTCACAGAAAGTTCGGACCAAACTGGTCATCAGCAGGACAAAGCTCTGAGCGCAGCTGCAAATCTGCGACAGCACGTCTGCATGGAGCTGCTGCAGAGCTCAGAGCTGAGCATGAATGAATGCTGCAAACCTGAATGAGCTGAAGCGACGCTGCAAAGAGGAAACTGCTGCCCTTTAATGGACACAGCACATATGTTTACATGATGAAATGCAGCAGGGAGTCACATGTCTGTTTATCAGTTCGTCACCTTGGCGATCTCTCGCTGGACGACATTTTCTTCCTTTTTACAGCACCACCCTGTGCTGGTGCCGTTTGGTATCTAACATTACAGGACACAACAGAAACCATCACTGCAACTTATTGCTGCTGAATCAGGGGGCGGAGTCAGTTTGCTTTAGTTCCTGTCAAATAAATGCTGACATGATGCAATGTGTCACACTTTTGTTCTTCTGAGGCTGTATCGAGTCATTTTAGACCCGATAATGACCAGATGACCTCCTCCTCATCTTCTGGTGGACACTCAGGAGTGCCCCAGGGCCTCACCTAAGAGGTGCCTGGGAGGTGCCCTCAGATGAACCCGTGTTATGACGTGGACAAGTGGCGTCTCTACTCTGAGCCCCTCCCAAATGACTGACTCCTCACACAGACAGGTTTTTCTAGCAATTCCTCAGCTCTGACTCGTCCCTGACGAGGGGGGCGTGGGACTCACATCACAGTTACGATCAGTTAACAGGTCAGGTATGCATAATTAACAATCATTAATAAATGCTTAAACACAAGTTAACTTAATCTGAAAAGGGGAATATTAACTAAAACTGCAGCCTTTACCTGCACCAGGTAAAGTCAGGTAACCTGAACAAAAGGACGTAAAGATGAACAAAAACGAAAGAAAATATGAGCTGTTTTTTTTCTTGATACGCAGAATAAATCTGCCTCTGAGCCTGCTTCTAACAACAAGCAACAAAACTGACCAAAGGAGCCAAAGAGGAGGTGAAGCCCGGCAGGAAGGAGCTGCTCTGACCCGTCTCGCCAACAACAAAGGCTGCGAAAATCTCAGGTTTTACTAATGAAACATCTTTTGCTCTTTACATGTCTGCAGTAGAAGAGTTTATGCCAGTTTCACTGTTTCGAATCAGACCATAAACGGGTGGTTTGTTTTTTTACTCACCCGCTTTTTGGCCGGCTATCTGTGCGAGGTTGTCCATCTCTGTGGTGTTTCTGTCTCTGAGGCGCACTCGGGTGTGCTTTAAGTTCAGCTCTCAGGTGAGAGTGCGGCCGACGACGCCCATCAGGTGGCTCAGCTGAGGAATCAGGTGTGTCTGCAGAGCAGCCCGACCTGTTCCACCGGCTAATTCATCATTCACAGAAGTGCTCTTCTGTACTGACGTTACTTCGTATGTTTCTGTGCATCGAACTAGTTCCAAAACATGAGCCAACACAAACCGCCCATCACTGAATGTGAGCTCAAAGTGCTGCCACGCTCTTCAGGCCACAGACACTTCACACTTTAAATAACAGTGTATGAACTGTTAAACTGTGACTCACCTGAAAACAAAAGCAAAATCAGTGAGTAAGTATTTCTATGATACGCTACTTTCTGTTTCTACTTCTACTCTCAGCTACTGCTCTGATGCTCAGATGTTATTTGTAGTCTGTACCAGTGCACGTGCACAGTACACAATGTGCACGTGCTCCCCTGTAAAATAACAAATCTGACCCTAGAAAAAACTAGTTCATGCATTTATTACTTCCAGGCTGGACGACTGTAATTCATTATTATCAGGAAGTCCTAAAAACTCCCTGAAAAGCCTTCAGCTATCCAAAATGCTGCAGCAAGAGTCCTGACAGGGACTAGAAAGAGAGAGCAGATTTCTCCTGTTTTGGCTTCCTGTTAAATCCAGAATTCAAAATCCTGCTCCTCACATACAAGGTCTTAAATAATCAGGCCCCATCTTATCTTAATGACCTTGTAGTACCATATCACCCTATTAGAGCACTTCGCTCTCGCTCTGCAGGCCTACTTGTTGTTCCTAGAGTATTTAAAAGTAGAATGGGAGGCAGAGCCTTCAGTTTTCAGGCCCCTCTTCTGTGGAACCAGCTTCCAGTTTGGATTCGGAGACAGACACTATCTCTACTTTCAAGATTAGGCTTCAAACTTTCCTTTTTGCTAAAGCATATAGTTAGGGCTGGACCAGGTGACCCTGAATCCTCCCTTAGTTATGCTGCAATAGACGTAGGCTGCCGGGGATTCCCATGATGCATTGAGTTTTTCCTTTCCAGTCACCTTTCTCACTCACTATGTGTTAACAGACCTCTCTGCATTGAATCATATCTGTTATTAACCTCTGTCTCTCTTCCACAGCATGTCTTTATCCTGTCTTCCTTCTCTCACCCCAACCAATCACAGCAGATGGCCCCGCCCCTCCCTGAGCCTGGTTCTGCTGGAGGTTTCTTCCTGTTAAAAGGGAGTTTTTCCTTCCCACTGTCGCCAAAGTGCTTGCTCATAGGGGGTCACATGATTGTTGGGTTTTTCTCTGTATGTGTTATTGTAGGGTCTGCCTTACAATATATACATATATTACATATTTTATAATTATTTTTTTGTTATACATCTAATTTATGTATTCATGTATTACATATATTCACGACCCCCCATCAGGTCACAGAAAGGTCATTGATTGGTCACCTGTGTCACAGGTAGACTGTCATACCAAACCTGTGCAACGTTTCAGGTATTTTCTCCTCACATTTAGATCAGTTCATAGAAATGGATTATTTATGTGTGTGATGAGCTACCTCAGAGACTCTGTTTGACCAGAGTAATAATTCCACATAACTAATTTATTCATTTAATTTATTCAATATTAAAGGACAACCAAACCAGAAACAATAAATGAATGTATTTAAAGTCCATGTTCAAGCATTTTAGTTTTTATTACCCAACAATCATATGACCCCCTGTGAGCAGCACTCTGGCGACAGTGGGAAGGAAAAACTCCCTTTTAGCAGGAAGAAACCTCCAGCAGAACCAGGCTCGGGGAGGGGCGGGGCCATCTGCTGTGATTGGTTGGATTGATCCATGTTAATGCTGACAGCTCTAATAATAACAGATGATTAAATGCTGATCATTAGAGATAGGTTGATCATATTTAAGATTGAAGCATTAATTAATGGCAGGACTTCTTTGAGCAGTTTTGTAGGAATGGGGTCTAAAAGACACGTTGATGGTTTGGAGGAAGTAATTATTGAAGTGAACTCAGAAAGATCAATTGGAGAAAAAGAGTCTAACTTAACATCAATGGTACTAAGAGTAGCTGTAGATAATATTACATCTGTGGGATGATTATTGGTCATTTTTCCTCTAATGGTTTGTGGCACGCCATTTCCTTTCCAGCTTACGAGTTATCTGCCTGAAGCTGTGCGTTTCTGAAAAGACGGACAAAAAAGTGGATTTTTTTTTTAGTCTTTATTCAGGAGTGGGAGTTGTTTCCTCGGGGGTCGGGTTGTGCTTTACAGCTTCCTGTTTTAGTTTCCTTGAGATGTTTCTTCAGCCAATTCGAAAAGATCATCCAGCAAATCTGAGAAGAACCAACAGTGAGACATTATGAACGAATCCATTCAGCGGCACAGCTTGTACACTTCCGAGGTTGCCATATACAAAGAGGCTTCAGTGTGACGGAGCGATGTGCAGTCCTGCTCCTCATACGTACCTCCATCGTTGGCAGAAGCACTTTGTGGTTTTTCTTCAGCTTCTCCTTCCATCGCTGCTCCGCCACCACCGCCAGCTTCAGGGAGCGGCCCTTCAGTGAAGAGACCCTTGAATCCGGACTTCCGCTCCTTCTCATATTCGTCCTCTCTGTTGAAGAGTCCTCCTTTGTCTTCGCCCTTGTCCACCTCCTTCTTTTTGTCCTTGTCGCCTCCTGTCCGTGAGAAGATTCCTCCTCCACCTTTCTTCTTATTCTTGTCTTTGTCTTTGTTCCCTAAATGCAGAGCGCCCTTCACCGCACCCTCCACCGCATCTCCTGTACGAAAAGCACAAGTTTAAAATAATGGGTATACACGACGTTCTTTCCTGCACTTCCACTTCCTGCTCCTCTTCCTCAGTTTCCTTTATAGCTGCAGAATCAGGTTGTGATGGACCGAGTTGAAAAACAGGAGGAGCCCAGGAATTATTAGAAAAATATAGTTTCCATTTATTTAACCCCCAAAAATTATATTTACAAGACTAATAAATGTTGAGCTCATAAAAGAGGTCAAAGAAACAAAACTGAACTCAGGCAAAGACTGCAACCTTAACAAACCAAATGACTGCCCAAACATACATAATTGACCTAAACATGAAATGACATACAAGGGTATATATAATGGCTGATCAGACCATTGTGACACATGAGGGGTAACAAACAAAACACAATCATAAATCACAAACGATGCAGTACAATCTAGTTTGTTAATAAACTAAACACTAAAGAAGAAAATCAAAACCCCATTAAACCCTAAACTCAAATATTTAATTAAATACAAATACTTTGTTTTTAAAGTAAAGAAAACACACATTCCCCCCTTCAGCAGGAAGTGGTGGTGTGGTCCAATTATCTTCCTTTGTATTTAATGGTTTCAAACCCTGGCTACCATCTTTTGTCCAGCAACTCCCAGTGATGATGGCAGGTAAGAAATAAAAAGACAAAAGTTAGTCAGAAAGCAAAGAAATGAAGTAGTATGAATACATAAGTAAACTAAATGTGCGCGCTTACAAATAGAACAAAATGTATCCAAACCAATCAATGAAGTTATTGGAAACTAAAATGTATTACTATGTTCAAATGAATGAAAATACAAAAGTTACCGACTTTAGAGTGTGGCCATGGGTTTGGCCATCACACAGGTGTTGTCCCACTGCGACTCGTATAAAGGCTTTATGGATGTTAAACCATGCCAGGTAACTATTAATACTGATAATCAGTAATAATCACTCAGCTGAACCCAACGAGAGTAATTTTCCAGCTCCGGAGGCCATCTTTGAAAAGATGATCTCACTTGAACTTGTGAGATCACAGTGAGCATGTTTGCAATGTCACTGTGTATCGTACTGGTTTAGAAAGGTTGTCCAGTCTCGACTTTGTCATGTAAGCTGTAAAAGTATTTTTCACACATTGAAATCTGAGACAATGCTTGAACATGAAAATATCAAAACTATTAAAGATAAAAGAATTAAACTGTCGTTTGTGTTTCTCACCATCAAAGTGAATCAGAGTCTGTGATGTGTCTGAGCATTCTGAAAAAAGCTGTCCTGTTGAGTCCAGTATTTGAGCGCACACTGAAAGAGTTGTTGTTACTGTTGTCTGTGCATCAGCTCAACTAAAAAACTTAAGTTTGAGTTTCCACCTGACTGCAGCTCCGCCTGCTCCACCAATCAAAGCAGGAGCAGAAAAACGAATCAGCTTCACTTCTTTTCCATTTATCATTATTACTGTTTTTGCACTCACCCACTTTTTTCCCGACAATCCCGGCCAGTTTGTCCATGTCTGTGATTTTCTGTGTTGCTGTGAGGAGACGTTTCCCTTCTCAGGCAGGTGGAGGTGAGACTGGAGCCGGTGACACCTCTCAGGTGTGTTTGCAGACCAGCTCGACCTGTTCCACCTGCTGTGACCTCACAGAAATGTAAAACACAGAGTGTGGTTCTGACAGCTGAACTGCTGTTTGTTGTGCTGCGGTGATGGTTTTGTGCATTCGTTTGGAGCAGTGGTGTCCCAGCAGGACAAATCTAAAAGTAAAGCGCTGTCCTCTCCCCGTGTCCCACAGCGCTGTCACAGACATTTTACTCTTTTACTTTACAGCCTGTTGACTTTTTTTTGCCAGTGCTTCATTTTTCATTTACATTTTAATAACCCTGTAGATCCCAACCGTTAACCATTTCCCACACAGCTCGAGCCTTTTCAGCGGATTTCGTAGATATGTGGACATCCACACGTGATTGTGCTGCATGTCATGTAAACACATGATTTATAGAATATGATGCATAAACAGAATATATGAAGTATTTAAAATGAGCTCAAAGTTCAACACCTGTAGCAGTCGGAATATTCTACTGCAGCATTAATATTTTTACCTTTAATATTTCAACATCATCGTTTATTTGTATAGCACTTTAAAAACACAGCAGGCAGACCAAAGTGCTGAACAACACAAATCAACACAACAAGCAAAATTAAACACAATAAAACTGAGAAGAAAGGTGTCAGTTTCCTACAGAGTTAAAAGCCGGGAATAAAAATAGGTTTTCAATCTGGATTTAAAGACCTGCACTGATGACGCTTGTCTAATATGGAGGGGAAGCATCGGAGCTGCAATTGAGAACCCTCGTTCTCCTGAGTTTTGGCCGCGACATAGGTACCGACAGCAACAGCTGCTCAGCTGAACGCCACGAGCGAGCAGGAACATGACAGGAGCCGGTGTCACCGGCCTGGGTCTGAAGGATCCAGGGATTTTGAATAAGCATGTGTATTTTTGGTGCTGCTGCCCTTTGTTTCCTATGTTTTTTTGTATAGGTGTGTGTGTGGGTGTGACAGAGCACCGGTTCTTCAGGCCTGGTGGGTGTGTCTGCCAGGTGCCAGGTTTAACAGTGTGGCTGAGCCGCCTTGACGTTGGATTGTTGCGTGAGACTCCACGTCAGTCTTCTAGCTTAGTTTAAGTCTGTGAGTGTGTGTCTACTGGAATTAAGTGTCTTGACAGCTGCCTCTGTTATTTCCCCTCAGGAGGAGCGTGGAACACTGGAGGGCAGCGAGCACAGGGTGTGCGGACACACGGGAATGGCGAGCACGGACTTTTGAGAAGAAGACACGACACGGGAGCGCACGGGGATTTATTGTCATTCTGCTGCACTGTAAATAAACACGCTGCTCAGCATAAAGAGTCCAGGGCCCTCATTCCCCACAGCCAGACCATTTAAACATTTAAAAACCAATAAAAAAGACTTTAAACGAATCCTAAATTCAGTGGGAGCCAATGTAAAGAATCCAGAACCGGAGTGGTGTGATTGAATTTTCTACTACCGGTTAAAAATTGTGCTGCTACATTTTGCACTAACTGCAGGTTTGACAAAGTGCCCGACCCCTATTAAAAGGGAATTACAATAGTCCAGACGTGAGGTGATAAAAGCATGAATAAGAGTTCCCGAATTGTGTTTGGAAAGGAAAGGCTTGACCTTCGACAGGCGTCTGAGGTGATAAAAAGCTGATTTTAACATTTACATGACCATCGAAGGTAAGTGCGGAATCAAATTTAACACCAAGATTAATGATTGAACTTTTCAGACGGGAGGTCAAAACACCAAAATCGACATCTGGAGAATCAGTAGAACGATGCGGGCCAAATAAATTTGTTTCCGAATTGCGATCATTAAAATATAGAAAATAATTTGCCATCCATGATTTGACATCGCTAAGACAGTCAAGCAGAGATTGACATGTGGAGGTATCCAAATGACTTAAAGGTAAATAAAGCTGACAGTCATCAGCATACAAACGAAATGACACTCAGTGTTTACGAAAAATCGCACCAAGAGGGAGTAAATACAGCGAGAAAAATAAGGGCCCGAGGATAGATCCCTGGGGCACACTCCAAAGCAGAGGGACCACGGAGGGCCAGCTTAACACAAAAACTCCTTTTGGACAGATTTGATTTTATCCATGACAACGCCAAATCAAAAATTCCCACACAGTGGTGTAAGCGGGAGATCAGCAGGTCGTGGTCCACTGTGTCAAATGCAGCTGTCATGTCCAATAACACAAGCACAGCATATTTACCAGGATCAGTCGCAACAACAATGTCATTCATAGCTTTAACAAGAGACTGTGAAAGGGCTTAAAACTGGATCTGAAGATTTCAGACAGCTGCGAGTCATTCAAGCAGTCTAACAGCTGGGTATGTACAATCCTCTCCAAGGTCTTACTTCATAAGGGAAGCTTGGGGAGAGGTCTAAAATCTTTATTATTATTATTATCATTATTATTATTATTATTATTATTATTATTATTATTATATATAATATTGGTTTAGTCTAGAACTTTACCTTCTCATTAAAGGTCTTTTAACAGATAACACCAGCTAGCTTGTGATGAAGAATGCTAGTTCTACTTAAAAATGCTTGATATCATCATTTAAAGTTATTCTTTGAATTGAGGCTGAGGTTGCTCTGCTTGACAAACTATTTAGAGATCAGTGTATACAGAACAAAGAAAGCATGAGACTGGGTGTTGGTGTGGAGAGTAGCCTGCAGTAATAGTAATAAATCACACAGCAATAAGACATTCATGTAGCTGCAAACAGTATGATAATATATTAAGTAATCCAAAGTATTCAGAATACATTACTGTCATTGAGTAACGTAACAGAATACGTTACAAAATACATTTTGGGGCATGTAATCTGTAATCTGTAGTGGCAGAAGAAATAAACAGCTTCTTTACCTGAGATGAAACACCACCACAGCAGCACTCATCTGCTTCACCCTGCTCCCATCCTCATCCTCACCTGGTTCCTGCACTGCTCCACTCGCTGTAACAGAGCACGATGTCAGATGTGTGCTCCTCCAGATGGAGTACCTAGAAAGGTGCTAAGAGCATGTACCCACCAGCTCACCCTCATCTTCACCAGACTCTTCAACCTCTCACTGGGTCAGGCAGCCATCCCATCCTGTCGAAAATCAGCCGCAATCATCCCAGTGCCGAAGAAGTCTCCCATCACCAGCCTGAACGATGACCGCCCTGTGGCCCTCACGCCGGTAATCATGAAATACTTTGAGAGACTAGTCCTTCAGCACACCAAGGATTGCCTCCCCCCAGAATTCGACCCCCACCAGTTTGCATACCGTGCAAACAGATCCACAGAAGACGCCATCGCCACAGCCCTCCACGCTGTGCTGAGTCACCCAGAGCAGCAGCAGAGCTACGTCCGAATGCTCTTTGTGGACTACAGCTCAGCCTTCAATCATCCCGGACATCCTCCTCATCAAACTGGTCACTCTTGGCCTCCCCCCTCTCACATGTGCCTGGATAAAGGATTTCCTCACAAACCGGCCCCAGACTGTAAGACTCGGCCCTCATCTCTCCTCCACTCGCACACTGAGCACCGGCTCCCCACAGGGCTGTGTGCTGAGCCCCCTCCTGTATTCTCTCTACACCCACGACTGCAGTTCGACCCACAACAACACTCATCATTAACTTTGCTGATGACATCACGGTAGTCGGACTCATCTAATAGGGAGACGATGCAGAGTACAGAGAGGAAGTCCTGAAGCTGGCAGCATGGTGTTCAGCAAACAACCTGACACTGAACACTAAGAAAACCAAAGACCTCATTGTGGACTTCAGGAGGTACAGCACTGACTTGGCCCCCTTTACATCAAGGGGGAGCGTGTGGAGAGGGTCCACAGCTTCCGGTTCCTTGGTGTCCTCATCTCTGCTGACATCTCCTGGACAGGCAACATCTCAGCGGTCGTCAAGAAGGCCCAACAGCGGCTGCACTTCCTGAGAGTCCTCAGGAAGTACAAGCTGAACAGGTGCATCAGCACAAAGACCCACAGACTCAGAAACAGTTTCTTCCATAACCACCCTGAACTCATACATGCACCGATAACTACAGTCCCCCCCCCTATCTGCAACAACCAGAACTGTATATACAGGAAAGCCGGGAATGAGCGGCTGTGAAATCCTTCTAGTCCACCCTTACTTCCACTTTTTGTCCGGTCACTAGCGCCACAGTGTGAAAACTTTAAAATTGACCCAGAAATGTCGCTCCGTTGTTTTGTACATTTTTAATTCTGGAGGAGCTGGAAAAACTTTATCGTTGTCACCGGCATGTTTGGTACCTTAGGCTCATCAGAGACAATCACATCCAGGTAAAATAATTTTATTTAATGTACACGCATTTAGGAATTACTTAGCTAATTCAATGGATAATTTCAGTAGGCCGGGTAGGTGACTCACTTCTGGCCTACCCGGCCTTTGAAGGACCCGTCCTACGTGGACCAGGTGGGTCGGGTCCTTTGAAGCATGCTGCCCTTGAATTTGGAGAGCATTAGGCTACGTAAAAAGGTCACAAAGCTGAAAACAGGCTTATTTTTGAGTTCACAAAAAAGCTTGTTTACACAGATGAAGTCTATAACGTTTAAGTCTTTTCACAGCGTATTAGAATATCTTACTTAAGCTTGATAACCTGAATAATGCTTTGATCTCTTCAACTAATTGGAATTTATATTGGCGCTTTATATCGTACAGTAGATCGTACAATAATAGAAAGGAGAGGAAATTAGGACAGGAGGTCTAAGGCCTCTGTCCTAATTAGTTATTACAGCAGTGAGCTTGAACTCTGTGTCTAATACTGAGCTTCAGTAAAGATTCAAG